AAAGTCTCCCAACTGCTATTATTGGCATTGTTGTTGTTGCTGCTCTTGTTGTCGTTAGACCTATCCGGAAACAAAAGCCCTTAGTAAATAAGTAGAGGCGTCTTTGAAGAAATTTAATATTGTCCTGACGAAATCGTGTCCGTGGCAGAGGTCGACACTTGACTTAATCCATCTGCTTCTGATTTTGAGCTTACAGTCGACTGAGTGAACTTAGCGACGAGATCTGTGGAAAGCGGAATTGACAATGCTGTATGATTTAATGGCTGAAAAAGGAAGTGTTCACTTCTTCCACAGCTGCGTTGCCGTTACGAACATTATAAGGAAAAATTTAGTCAGACAATGGAACCTTGAAGCTAGACAGTTGGGTTTCTGCAAGGCATCAACTTTCAACTCACTTTGCATACTACTGATTTGAATGTCGCCGTCAGTTGAGTAGACCAAAGTGAGAAATTGGACCTCCGTAGCTAAGAAATCTAAAAGTAAATCTAGACCTTACATGGTCTATAAAACATGGCTGACACTGCTTGTCCTGCCAGTTTAGAGCCAAGGGATTCGCTGACGTGATTATTAAGGGAGGCACAGAGCTGAACCGGCAGAATAACTAAGAATCAAGTTCCAATTGCGATGTACATGGTTCATAGTAGTGACTACATGCTTCTGACACTGGTGCAACAGCCTGGGAAATACATTCAGAAAATTAATCAAATTTAAAGTAAACTTGCTAATCAAGCAGGTCTGCGTTTTGCGAGACCTCAGACAAAATTAGAAATTTGCGCAGTTAGGACTGCAATAGTCATCAATTTTTTACTTAATCCAACTTATAAAAACCGCCTAAAGTCGGTCAAGTAGCGGCAAATGAAGCATCGGAGCGGCAAATCAGGCTCCTGTTGACATCCTCCAGAGATCCAAGGAATGTGAAAGTAAGTTTCCGTTTCCCTCAGCACCGCACCAATCGAGGCGTAATCAAGACTTTGAGTTGCTGCAGCGATTGAGGAGGTCAGGACGTTGGACAGCCAAAGCGTTCCGTTTTAATCTGGCCCCGGCAGAATGAGGTGCCACGCGGTCAACTAAACACTGTTGTGAAAATCAGGTAATAACAACAGCTTTTCTTAATCAACCGTCACGAGCGTATGAGTTGGTCGCTACCAGGACCCGAAAAGGTCCCTTGTCAAAGCACGAACTAGAATGCCTCAATAAGACGGGTGGATGCGTTGATTTGTAAATTTTCTCTTTGAAAACACCCACGACAAGCTGATCGGTCATTGAATGACACGGAGAAGGCGTCTAAACTGACATTTTATCCAGCATGGTTGAAAGAGGAGAATAAATAAAGGCATTGCATTTTCAGATGAATTCCATTTAAGAGCTGCCTAGCGGAAGAAGGATCAAACGACTACCTTTGGAGTATCTCCTCTTCATTCACGAAACAAAGAGAACGGAAACCACTTTTTTGTAATAATGGTTTAATGCAAGGCTTGTCGGAGAAGACGTCTGAAAGACATCGCTTTATTCTCCTCAGGCTAAGCAGTTTGTGTATTTTGTTTCCTCCCCTCCTCTTCTTCCTTGGAAAGACCGAACACAAGATTTTCGGCTACCTTAAAATGCTTTAGTGGAGGGCAAGACTAAAATGAAAGTGACAGGGGACTGGAAGAGAACAAAAAACTTTAAGCCTCCGCCTGTGTACAAGGGATGTCATCTTCCTCCAACATGCTGTTCGAAGTAGGACCTCGCCTCCGGCCTAAAAGGCCGGTTTAAGGAGCTAGTAACCGTTATTGTAATGCATATACTTTGGTTTGATTTGCCTTGCCCATTGAAAGTGAGATTCAATTCAAGCTTTGGCTAGCAAATGTGAAAAAATCCTAGGATGTGGATCCGGATCCAATGCTTTCCCTTCCGTTTGTACTTCATTCTATTCTTCACTTTGTAGACCTAGTGCCAACGGAGTCTTTTGGAAGACTACGGAGTTATGAGAAGCTTGTCAAGAGGGAATTTGAAGAGAGCGGTGACGTGGGACAAAAAGTGTATAATATGGATGGAGATAATCAAACGCACAAAATGTCTATCCACGAGTCGGGTCTAGACACTAGCATTAAAATAAGAAATTTTGCAGTCAATTTAAGACAATTGCTCATTGTGCTCTCGAAACCATAGGAGGGGACATTTTGACACCGTTTGAGTAGACATTTAATGCGAATTGGATGGATCGCTCCTCGACCGACCACACCCGGTAAAATTAGCGCCTTTTGGCATACAGCAATCAACGCAAACGCGGTCCTTTTTTCCCCTTTTCAATCATTACCGCTTTTGGCTGTTAAAGATCCCTTTTTTAACCGTTGATAGCATCAAATTCATGCGATGCGTGATCGTAGATGTCGGTGCTGTTCCGAATTCGAGGAGTTCCCCATTTTACTTATTTCCAAATTTGGAGGTTTAAAATTATTTTATGGCAGATTATATGCTCGACAGCTTCACTAGGTGTTTGAAACAAAAAAAGAACAAAAATTTGAGCATAATGTTGGAAAAGCCAGTGGCGGAGGCATACCCACAAGTTAGTGACCGTATCAGTACTTTTATAAGGGAAGGGGGTGGAGAGGAGAAGGAGAAGGAGGAGGAGGGGGAGGGAATTTATGGAGTGCGTACCTCGTAATGCCCTAAAAGAAGTTATATATCTCTCGGAGTTCATTGAGTGCTGTACACAACTAATTTCGAAGTAATCCTGGGAACCCCATTCGTTGTTCCTTTTGCTTTGTTTACCCCCTTTGCGTGTACCACTTGCACATATAAAGGAATTGAAAGTCTTTGTAGAGAAGAGCGGTTCGTAGATTAGGTGACACTTAAGTGAAGTGGCACTTTGAAGTTTGCAGTCCTGAGTTCAGCTGTCACGTGGACACGTACTATTTTTTGAGGAGGTTGTCTTGAAAGAAGTGATGCTTCGCTTCGAATTTTTACGCGCATACTAAGCTTGAAATGCGGACACTTTTGCCTGGCGACATGGACTTTATGCCATTCTAGCAATCTCATAACAAATTTTTTGTTTTAAATGCGGTCTATTGCCTTTAGAGAAGACCTAAGGAGCTATTTCATTAAGGCACAATCCTAAATAATGTCTACCTCGTTTTATTGCATGGAGTAAGTAGAGTAGATTGCTTTCGGTGGCCGACTAGACGACGACTCTCATAAGGAGTCCGCCAACTTATTTTCCGCCTTGTGTCTCCAAAATGGACTTCACAACCAAAATGGCTTTAGTCATGCTCGCCTACCGGTTGGAAGTAAATGTCGGGCAGCACGAGATACCTTCTCTACCACTCTGCCGCAGTGAAGAAATTTAGACGGCTCTGGCTAGACAGCACTGAAGGGGGAGACAAATTGGCAAGGCGTAACAGTCGCAACTCCTTATTACTCCTCCTGTTCAGTGCTTTTTTAACTATCGGTGGGCACGCGTAATGATTAGTGCATTCTCTACTTCCATGTCCGGTGGGAATCTGGAGAGATAGCATCGATAGGCTGTCAGATTTTGTGTCCTATTTAGTCGAATTCGAGGATTAACGCAGTCGATCCGTGAGTGCTTCCCCTTTACGACACCGACCACGTTGTGATGGTTGTTACGGCAGGTTGACCAAGGGAAGCGTCAATAGCGGCGCATAAAAGATGAGAAGGACTAAGTGATACTTTGCCTGATGAACCTCCGTGCTTTGTTTACGTAGGCAATTCCCCGTGGTGACATAGCTTTCAGCTCTCCTCTGAGTCGGTAACGTATGCCCGTAGTCTGCCCAAATATTATGTTGTCTTTTCTCATCAAAGAGGAAATGGGAGCTAATTCTAAGAGACTCCGAAGTGATAGACGCTGCATGACATAAAGAGGCAATCCAAAGTCGCGTTTGAAGGAACTTGCAGTTTAATGAGAAATGCAGAACGACGCGATTGGGTAATCAGGTGAACATGAAATTTCTCTCAAATGTTACAAATTATAAACGTGGTGAAGACTTAAGTGATCCATCAAACATAAGTAAAACTGATTGATAAGGCGATATTGTGAGAAATATTGTGTCCATAATAACGTGATTCTTATAGCACCTCTCCCTACCCTATAAAATAGGAAACGTGTGTTCCATTTTACCCAATGATTACCGATTGCCTCGACAAAAAAAGTTTCGAATGGGCTATCTAAAAGCATTTTCTTGCTTCCAACTTATTCGGCAAGCAGTTCACTGCTAGGGCTTTCTAATGCCTTGTCAAAATGGCAAAATCTTTGGAAACCAGGGAATTATTAACTCCTGGATCGTTGCTAGTGGAGATTCATTACAAATTACTCCATTACTGAGCTGTCAATGCCTTGGAAGAATGAAAATGCGAACCCTTAATGCTCCACAAATAACTAGTATGAGATAATGGCCACTGAAAATGGCGTAAGTACGCCCACAATCAACTGAAACAGTTTAGGCAAGTGTGGTAGGGGATGCAAAACACAAAAAAAACTTGACGATGGTTTACACGTGTCTTCCTCTTCATTGCCACAACATACTATGCGCCAAAAAAACAGTTAGTGTGAGGACCATTTATTTCGGTCGCATACTACTTACTTGCTACTTAAGTCCAATAGAATTTGATTACTACAAGTGAAAGATCAAAGGGTTTAGGACATTAATAGCAACAAATCCCATCGTATTGAACCGAGTAAGGTAACACCTTATCAAAAATGTTAACCTTTAATGAGATTTATTTTACCTGGACCAGAATTTTGTGTCTTTGAACCAAACACGACGCTCACAGAGGTGATAGGCAATGGATATTACAAATGTCTGTTAATGTGTACAGACAAGAAGTTGGTCCGTCAAGGATGCACATTTAAAGCCTCCAATTCCGAAAGCTTCAGGTGAACCAATTACACAGCTGGACAAAAAAAAACAGTCAAAAAGAAGTGCCAAAAAGTTAGTCCGCTATTCGCATACACCGATGGGAGAGAGGGGGAAGTGAGGCATCATAGACATGCACATGTTCTGTTAAAAAAAATGAGGCTGTCTCCTGCGAACCATGTCATCCCGCTGTTGACTGGGTTGTCTTTGAGATAAACTATCAGGAATCGTTCTGTCCGACTTTTTGCGCCAGCTTTGATGTCGACTTCGCGTCAAAGTGTCCTCCTCAGGGCACTCGGTCAATTCATACGTAATCTGCCTATTGCCACTCCCAACTATATGACGCCGATATGAAGGGTCCTCAAACGACACCTCTCGTCGCATTCGACCGAGTTTTCGGATTTGACGAGATGGAGTTTCGGCCACCTCCGCGGGAGCGATTTTACCCATCATTAAGGAGCGGTGAGATTTGGAGGCAGTGTTTTGCAGCTCCTCTTTTTCCTCTGACTTCTGCACATCCTCCTGAAACCGAAGTTTTTGTCTTTGTCGAGGCGCAAGACTTATCTGGTTGGACAAGGAAGCGGAGGAAGGTCGATGATGCAGGGGTTGCATGTAGGCGTGATACCAGGCTGAATCGGCCAACTGTTCTGTGCGCTCTGGGCGGTAGGGGACTTTGTTTGAGGGGAGAAGGCGTTGTTTTATGAAAAAGTCACTCAGCTAAAAAATTGATGTAATCAAGTTAGTCGTTTATTTTAATTTTACTTTTAGCTATGTGGACATTTAAATCCCAACGGTGCCGATTGCCTAAACTTTCACTTCACACCTGCGATTTTTATTCGACAGCAGATAGGAGTCTAACTCGGCATCCTAAGGGACAAATAGCGCGACTTTTATTATGAGTTTATAAATTATAATGAAATTAAAGAGAGACTGTGGGTGAGTGAACCCTTGAAGACCGTGAAAAGAAAGTTTTCAAATGGTACTCACCTTAGACAATTACAATTCTTGTGGACAACTAATATAAGACGAAGTGAGGTTGGTCATTAAGCGTTAAGAAGGGTTTTGGCACAAACCTGTCATCGAACTTGATTGAGGGTCGCCAAAGGGAGAGAGAAATTTTACGAAAGAAGTAGACAGTCCTTTTGACTTATTATTTATTTTGAATTTTGTTAGGTGATTCTGTTTTTCAGACCGAGTGTGTTGCACACGAATGTTCTCAAGGGGATCGTTTCTTCAGGATCAGCAAATGTCCCAATAACTGTCAGTGGCGTTCATGTCAAATACGCTCTCATTAGAAAACCAAGTTAGCATTTGCCTGTCGCAGCAACAATGAGCAATTTGTGATGATACACGTGGAGACCGTTTAAAAAGGAGTAATGGAGGTGCTTTGTTGTTAATAATCCTATTGCCACTTTGCTTCTGCATTGCTGACAGGATTGGACCTCCCGGTTTTAGTGACTTCTCTCAACTTCTGTACACACTTAGAATTCTATGGACAATCCTTTTTGATTCGCGAAAACATAATGAGGCTCCAGGGTTCCTCCTCCGCCTTAAAATGAAAGCCGAAACAGTTCAGAAGGGCGCTATTTTGGATGAACGGCAATGCGTCTCGCTAATATGGGCAAAATGAAGTACTCGTTGGAAGCACTGTTATGGCAATATTTAATATCCTTTAAAACCCAGACCTTCCCACTTAAGCATCGGTGAGGTGTAGGACTTCACCCCTTTGATACGGAGTCCTAAGGTTGTCCACCTGGTGTCCGCTTCCCCATCAAAGGACTCAACATTATAAGAGGTAAGTTAGCCTTTTCAATGTATTAGACTCTTAAAGGGGGGTTTAAAATGGAATGAGGAAAACTTTGAAATTAATCAAACCCTGTGGAGATTTAAAAGACTACTCCTCTCTGCTACAAATTTTAATTGCAGTGACAATATTGAATGAATTTTTAATTAAACAGGGCATTGGGGAACTCTTCTTCCTTCTCATCTTCTCTTTGGCGCCGAGTAAGAAGTCTTTTATAGGCAGACTTTGCAGTGAAGATACGCCTAAACAAAAATGCCGTCTTTTTCACATCACTTGCCTTTTTGACCTCCTGTTCTACCTCCTACTTCCCCTCACTACGGCAATTGTTACATTTATAACTACTAATGTTGATTTAAAGGGTCAAAAGCATCAGGGTTAAAAATTAGCCTTTGATGAGCTTATATGAAGTTGAAATTCAAAAGAGGCTGGAGTGCTACCTGAGCTGGAAGTTCTGCGAGGACCTCCTTTGCAAGTCCCAATTTGTTCCATCGAATTTCTTCCGAACCGTCTGCTGCCAATCGAAGGAACCGCCTCATTTCCACAAACTGAAAATCGAAGTCGCAATTGCGTTTTGATTATAAGATGTTTACAATTTTTTTAAGCACCTTTTGATGTTAGTTGAGAGCTGGAGTAATGCAAAAGTGTTTGAGCCAGAGAAAACCAAACACCTGGGAAGGAAGGAAAATGGATCGTACTGGAATTCATGACTAAGCCAGTGAATGAAACGAGTGAATAAATTTAAACGAGCTTGACAGTTATGACAGTAGGTCAGCACATCGTACACATCAAATAAAAAGTGAGAATTTCACCATTTCCCTTTGCCATTAAGCATGACAAGGCTAAAAAAAAACAGTCTTCCACAAATACAAGTCTCAATGATTCACCTCATTAGAAGTCAGTCATTTGACCAAAGCGATGCTAAAAATAACTTTTGGTAATGAAGTAATGCGAAAAAAATATCCGATCGCCAGTTTTTGCAAGGCTTAACAAAGAGATGGGACGAAAGTGGTAATGAGAGTTCTCATTACGAGGAGATCAATCTTGAGCCTGTGGCAAACGAGGGAAAGATTTTGTCCAATTTTTATGGCTTCGACCCTATGATAGACTTACAGTAAGCTTCCATCACTATTCTTAGTGCATGCCAAAATAACCTTACAGCATCGCGTACTCAGAGTGGAAATTTGAGGAGTTGCTAATCAAAAGGGTCACAAAGGCATTTAAAGCTGTTACAATCCGATTGGCATCCACACTGACCCAAAAATTAAACAGGCGCTGTTCCATCAAAAAGTTGGGACATAAAAATGGTTGCTTAATCAGCCAGTGTCAATAAAATGACTCATTTCGAACAGTTTATTTTAGTAGAGAGGAGTAAACTCATTACGTGTTTAAGGAATGAAGTTAGTAAGCATTTTAAACACATTCAGCCACACTGGTAAGTAACAGGGCAATCATTTGGGAGGCACACCTCCGAATCAGAGTCGTCCTGTAGGGAGGAAGCTACATCACATCCTGTTTGTGTTTGAGTCACTGCAATTGAAATAAAAACATTGTTTCCTGCTGCAGTCTTCTCAGTCACATACCAGCCCTTCCGAGCGTAAACGTAATGTTGAGAGACAAACTCTAAAAAATATATTACGTGAAACGCACATTTAGTGAATTGCAAATGAGGTTTCCTCCATCCAGCTAAGGGTGAAGGAGACGATGTAGTGATTCAGTGTCATGACCGCAATTTCCCACGAAAAATAGTCTTGCAATCGAAAGCGGATTTTCCATGGTGGCAATGGAAACAATTTGGCAGAAGCGCTCTTAAAGGATTGTCCACTAACCCGTTAGGAGAGCAGATTGCAATTGACGGAACCACCGAGAAAATAGGAAGTAACTGCGGAAAGTTGTAAGGGACCTTGTGGATATGAGCCGGTAAAATTTGAAGAACTCCGTCAGCTTTTTTTATCGCAAGAAAGTAAATCATTGTAAAAAAAGGAGGATGAAAAGAGCAGCACTATAAGCCTCCGCTTTGTCACTGGTCAACATCACTAATCTCTTCTCAAAAACCTCCTAATGTACTGCCATTTTATTTGACCAAACTTTGTAAATTCTCCTTTTTATATCTAAAAATACGGAATTATGCATCAGGGTGCAGGAGAAATGGTGGAGATAATTTGTTAAAATTGTCTATTCAGGTAGCAAACTGCCCAACAGCGGCAAAGTGATTTGACGCAGGAACACAGAAACCTCTGAGAGTTCAAAATTAGCGAGTGCTCTGCTTCGGGTTCATCGCCAAGGCAGGTGTTGAACAAATGCAACCAGGGAAAGATAGGTATTAATGAGGCTGATTATCTTCAAAATCACCAACCGGAGGAGCTTTACAACCTAATTAATCACTTTTAATAAGCTCTTTGATGGGAAGGTGTGAACAACCGCGCATGCCTGGAGGACGAGGTGAATTCAGTGCTATCTTCTAGAATGAGACTTACTGAATTACGGTTTCATCAAAAAGTTGTCAAACAGGAGTCATTGTGGTTAATGAAGTGTGTGTGTGTTTGCAACAATGATGCACCTAGAGGAGTGATGAAAATTGTTGTGATAAGGATCGAGTTGTGACGTTAAATGATGGGATGGCTACAGTGTGGAAAGAACGCATCGAGGCATTAATTATGCCACACACTTAATTAGAGGGACCTCATAAAAGACTGGACTTTTTGTTCCCTTTCCATTGTAATAACGCAGGGAAAAATCACCTTCGACGCCCATTCTAATTACCTGGTAAAGACAAAACGTCCGACCTAAAGTTAGACTTTTTAACATACACAAAGGAAGAGTTTATTTTGTGCAAAGAAGGATGTGGACTTTCCCGCTTCGTTTATACTAAACCAACGGTGCGTAGAACAGCGTCATTGCATAAGGAGAACTACCAGCTTTACAGAGTAACCAAATTAATGCCTGCCTGTGGAATAAGTCAAGCAAGGTGAAAAAAGCTTTCATGCGTACTAAAATTGTCATTCCCTTATAAGATTAAATTTACAATTACGAGTTCTGTCATACCACAAATTATTATTTTTGGAAACGAACAACCCACCTCTGACCACTTAGATCCCTATCGCACTCAACCCTCCCAAACGCCTATTCTTCCTGTGTGTTGGCGCCAAGAGACAGTGATAAGGATCTCTTGGAGCTTGGAGAAATATCTTCGCAAAAATAGAGAAAGGGTGGGGATTATAATAAAAATTTTGAAGTAGCAGCACCTCTCACCTCCTCACGCCAAAATAAGCCTCCCTCTTGAGCCTAAAAGCTTCTCACAGGGAAATTTCGTGATATTTGATATGAGGTCTTGCGTTATGGTGAAGAAAACATCTAACTCTCCGACTAGCCTTGCGCGATTCCCAAATTTTGCCTTATAGCGCAAACAAAATCTAAGCCAAAATTATTTTGTTCTTATCAAGTAAAAATGTCGTGATGAAATGGCGTGTCCGCAGCGCAACACACCCACAAAATAGAGAGCCTCTGAGGCGTGGTAAATAATGACTAACCGTTTCTTTATTGTTTGCAGGTGGTTGGCAAACAATCTACAATGCATGACCTTTTCACAGTCGTGAGCTAGGCAAAGAACAAAGGCCAGTTCTTTGGAGTTTAATAGCATTCTATATTAGTACATGTGGATAAAGTCCACTTACTTTTGGCTCTCACAATTTGCTCATTGGACCACAAACTAAACATCCCGCTGCCCAAGACAAACACTACTAGCAGTCATCCTCAGCACCATATTAGGCGCTGCGCCTATCCATTGCGTGTTACTCTCCTCGTGTAATGCTTAAGTAAATTAATGATTGTGATCGCGTTCAATTGTATGTTATGACGCCTTACCTGAACGTTATCCCGACAAGCTTCCTCTTGTCCAACTTTTAATAAGGCAAAATCTTGATCTAGTACTTGCAGGTCTGAAAAGGAAAGATGCTCCGATACGATGGCATAAACATGGCATAAACGAGGCCAAAAGAATTGACAGAAAATCAAAGTACCTGACAAATGGGACTTATAAAATGTAAAAGAGGATAATGCTCACCCCTTTGTTGTAGTGAAAAAGAATATTTCTACAATTGACCTCGATTGATAGTGAGGGCCACCGAACATATTCGCTGGCCAATGCCACCACAACTACTTTACAGCTTAAAGAAGGTCATCAAGTGGTGCCAATTGCATAAGGAACAAGCAGTTGAGGGCATAACTAATCGAACTAGAGGTAAGATGCTCACTGTATAGCCCTCTTTGCTGCATTCATTCAATTTTTAAGATTGATTGAAAAAATGCATGAAAATCAATGCCTAAGGTACTGATTAAGACTTAAGTAGTATGTGTGATGTAAAAATTTGTTGTTCATAAATTATAGAAGGGAACAATGTTCCGAGAAAATTGTTTACAAATTATTTAAGCAACGTAGCTAAGCAAGCACAAGAAGTGCAATTTCTTGGGTGTATTTACTAGAGTTATCCAGTGGAGGTACCGGAGAGCATGCTTTCTCGACTGGATTGCCTCCCTTATGTTGCCAAATCAGTAGACCCCTTAATACCAGCAATATCTTATATAAACTATTCCACTTAACGAGGTGACAACCAATGTTATACATGCGCGCCAGTACGATGATCGCAGTCTTACTAGATGTCACAAGCAGGCATTGTGCCTGCAGTTACTTATGCCATGAGTAAAGTAGTGGGGAATTAAAAGGACATTTTGGACGTAGATTCATTACGGACTCACCTGCTGCAACAAAAGCTAAGCCTTTAAAAAACGAAGTGACAACGATACGTACCCTCGAATTTGCCGCCTCCAACGCCTATGAATATGATGGAAATGGGAAGGAACGACGCCTGTAATGCAAGAAAGCTCAATGTCACAATCTGCCTTTATGAAACCACTTTCCTCTTTATTATCAAGCAAAGTGAGTTTCGATGGCATGAAAGTGGGAAGAAAGCGTAGAACACCTCACATGCGGTCGCAGCGAGTCAACAATAAAGCGGCTTCGAATTAGGACGACTCACACATGGAAGGAAAGCTATAAAATACGCGATTGTGCGTATCCTAGTCGATCTCTTTTACTGGACGTTGCCTCGCCTTCGATCCCTCCGCAAGGATCGCACTGAGTTCCTTTCTCTTTCTCTCTTCATTACATAAAATCAAGTACATTTCTACGTTTACTGTTATTCCTTGCTTTTGCGGCAAAGTACAAACGGGCAAACAGAGGAACGTCCTTTGTCCGCACTCTTATGGGGGACGTCGGTTTGCGATAGACTGATAAGTATCAGCAAGGTCGGCTGCTTTGATGGTGAAGCCAAATTTATGCTGGCACCAAAACTCTGCCAAAACTAATTCGAATTGTGAGTGTCCTGGAGTCCAATTGCATGCAAACCCTCTCGTCGAAAAGGCCTTACCTCCAGTAAGCTAAACTTTTAGGCGTACCTCCGTATTCCTGACTGTTGGCCTACAGCATGAAAATCCTCAATCAACCTCATAATTTCGAGTACGAGGTGGGTGGGGTTAGGCGATGAAAATTGTCGGTCAGAAAAGTAAAATGGAGGTGAGAAGTCATGCTGTCCACTTTTCTCACACATCCAAACGAAAGCTTTATTCAGGGTTAAAATGAATGGCATCAAGATAAATTGTTGTGTTTTAAAGAGGAAGAGGACGTGGATGTGTAAAGCTGCGTAGCTGTAAAACGAACTCCTCTCGACGCACAGCGCCTTAACGGCAACGCATTTTGGGATGGCCCAACTTTTTTCTTACAAAAAAATGATACACGGCAAAAAGTCAAAACTTTTTGGCCACGATACCATCATTTGTAAAGGTGAATGCGAATTTCACTTGCAGAAATGCGTTTGACATGACAGGTCTTAGCATTCTCCATGTATGCGGTAGGTGAAGCAGGGAACGAGCGGTTCGTTCAGTAGATGGATTCGTACAAGAAAAGTATGGTAATGTACACCTTTTAAACTGTCAAATACTGTACTTTCCTCAATGCCTTGTTCCCCGTAGACGCAGCTCTGCTCGAAATCCCAAAATGACACTAAAGACTGTGCAAAATCCACTAAAATCCGAGGCTCATTGAACGAGTTGACGAATAGGTCATGCGGAAGTCATACCTCAATCACGGCCCTTTGTGTTTCCACCCAGTCGTCTACAAATCCCGTTGTGAGGATGAGAAGAACGTAGTATTTGGAACTGTCGTGAGAGCCTCTAGCCATTCTAAAAGCAATGAAAAGTTTGAAAAAAATTCAAATTAATCTTTAAAGAATGCTTCCGTTATACGACAACTTAAGTGAGTAACATTATTTTAGCTTCGAAAAATCTTTGGCTGTATGTCTAACACCTTGTTCTGCTATTGTGTCTTTTCTTGAAAAGAAATGCTCCCAAGTTAAGACAGAAGTCTTCACGGATCCAATGCTATCTTGTAGTAAATTTGTCTCCGTTTTTTTTCCGGAACAACCTTAGAAAGCCGCTTAGTTGCAATGGAACAGCTACTCTCTTATGTCCAACAGAGGAAATGCAAACAGCATCTATCCTTGCCAACCATATCAGTCATGTATGTTGCAGCTGGCACAGCATAATTTTGTGTAAAAGTCAGTAAAAACTGTGTCTACGACACCTGTATGATGAATGCCAGTGAAATGAACAAGCCGAATCTCCTCTAAGCACTGCGGTGCAAATAAACTGTCATGAGGGAAATGAAGGAGAATCTCAACTCGCCCACTCTGCCCTCTTAGCCGAGGTAACTACAGGTTTGATAACCAACGCCTTTTCCCCCTCTAATACAAATTTCACGCAGGACAAACTCCTAACTCCAGTGAAACTGTCAAGAGAGGTGCGGGACTTTGCGGTCAAACCTTCCCTTGGATGCTAGCAAATGCAACGGCTGGCGCAGATGATTGGTGAGTGTCGCTTCCTTGCTCCACCGGCTGTGCCGCGATGGTCAACGGAGGCAGAGCAAAAAGGTACCAAAAAATCCTGAAGAAAAATGGTTTTATGTGCAACAGTTTTTTGTTTAGCTACCTGCAGGAGGCTGTAAAAGTCGTCTCACAGCCGCCATGTTGAGGCAGGCATGACAACCTAACTAGTCCGTACAACAAACTCCTCCATTTTGTTCACCTATTTTTAGCTAACAGTGTACTTTCTTCCCTAAGAAAAATAAGTTTTAAGTAAAATTTTTAGTGATTTCTGCCTTAAAATGCTGTTACAAGTTACTACGATGGCTTTATTTACAGCATAAGTGGCGTAAGAACCAGAAAGACATCTTTTCACGACTAACTTACGCAGCATCCTGGTTAAAGCTATTTTAACGAAATTATAAATGACTTTTGAGGGATTGGAAGAGGCGCTGTGTTGAATGGCTTTTGATGCCGAAAGCTCCAGACACCAGTGTCACCCATTGTGGATTGGTGTTACTGTCCATCAACGAGGATGTGCTGCCTAAGTGCTGTATTTCAGATATCTCCAGCTAAATGTGGCGTTAAGTACAAAATGAGGTATATTAAATCTGGACAATGTAGGGAATGTAGGGAGAAGACGTCCTCCTGAGCACCACAGATGCAGTCGTAAGAGCCTTTGAATTTTCATGGAACAGAATTCGACCAATGGCAATCTGTCATCCCCCACGGCGGGGAGGTTGTTATGCTAACCAAGCTTTTGGGCTCGTAAAAGGTGATAGAAGTTGGGTAAACAGTTTAGGTGAGCATAGACCACCAGCTCGAACGGACAATTCTCACCCACTGTTAGAATGGTATTTTTTTCAGGAGAAAAAATAAATGCTCTGATTGAGGAAATATGGAGGGTTGAGAAGGGAAGTCAATGATTGGACATAATTTCTCCAAACTGTTGATATTGTAGGACTCCAAAGTACGGAGTACCTTGGCAAGAGCTGACCTTCATCATATTTTCTACTAAGGAAATGTGGTGTCTTGGTGTGACGAAGGAAAGGCGAAGGAAGGATTGGTGATGATGTCTAAAGGGCGTCAACTTTCAGTGCAGCTTTCTGCTGTGTTTCTAGTGGGATGTCGACAATTCCAGGAGGAAGGATAGATCTTCACTTCTTGCGATGATACATTGAATGCATTCAGCAAACACAAACAACCTTTGTTTTGTAGCATAAAGTTTATGAAAAAAAAGGTTTGGTTTTAGGATGAAAATCGAAAATTTCAGCATTTAATAGAAGATGAACATGGAGGCTGTGACATGGAATGGTAGTAATGGCAAGTGTTGAAGGTGATGATCGGCATCTACCTGATGCGATTCCTTTTTGTAAAAGATACTGGAAACACAAACAGGACTCCTTGTAAACAAAGTGATTAATTTTTTTGAATTTAAAAGCATGAATCGAAGTTATTAGCTGTCACAAGGTGTTAAAAATTAGAAGCAGAGTTTATTATCCATTGTTGATCCGTTGAAAGTTGGCAAAAGAATAAAGAGTAGAAGGTCAGCTATTAGGACTCACTCGTTGACATGCTTGATGAGGGGCGCAAAGTTTGGCGGAGCTGAGCCACAAGTTTCACTGACCACACGACTGTAGGCTGCAAGCACACCGGCCACTCCCTTGCAGTTGGGATTACTCGGATCGCCCGTCTAAAGGAATGCGAGAACGCCTTGATAACATAATGCCCTCTCTGCTGAGACAGAAGTTCACGGACCTCAAAATCGTAAAGGACAACCAAATTTGTCGTCCAACGATGCATGAGGGTGCAACTACCACCTTTTCCAGTCAATCCTCTCGAATCACGAGGGACTGGTGGAGGTCAAATGAAGACGAGCAACACCGAACCCGTTCTCATAACCAGCGTATCTCCCAAATGTTATTTTCACTAATAAAATTGAATAGTGCTTTCTGCATTTCGACCATCTTCCATTTACTACAGAAAGTAATGAAGGAAAATCTTGAAAAGTCCAGCGCCCTTAAGTGGAATTTTCTTCGGCTACTTCATTTTAGGAAACCTCTCTGTGTGTCAAACTCCGTTCCTACTGAGAAACACACTTTTAAAATGCAAAAACATGATTGATCAAACCAGTTTACATGGAAAGCTCAGAAGGCGGAAAGTGAAAGCGTGCTTACAAGTGGGACGAGGTGGGACTTTCGGCCATCTGAGCCGATTCTTGTGCCGAATCCGAAGGCGGGAAAAAGTTCATCGCTGAAACAGTATTGGGAGATTTATGGGTTAAAGAAAGGGCTTTTACGACCCTGAAGATTAAAAGTGCTAACTTTAAGAAATAATTCATTCATTTCACGAAGTAAAAGAGGCTGTTAGGGTAAAGGAATCAACCTATTTTTCGATTTCTGAGATGACGTATTGGTGAAAGGAGTTCTCAAAAGTGCATCCACTTACCCCGCAAGAGTTCAACCTTATAAAATCAGTAACGGGTCAAAAGGTTAACCATCAGTGACGTTCACACTGAGTCTGATTCACCTGTCATATTCTTGGAGAATTTCTACAACAGCTTGGATAGCAATGATGTACTCGCTGTTGACAGCTGCCGACTTTGCTATGGAAATGGCTTCAGTGAAGAGCATTGGATTGTGACTTTGGTGAATTTGAGAGGACAAGTCTATTCCCACAATAACGTTTATGCTGGTCCTATGTAAAAAAGGGAGATTCACCATGTGACAAGAATGACAACTACTTAGGCAATCGGTGCTACGGACGTAGCAGCTCACCCGCTTAGAATGTAGTCCAGGAATGAGCAGGCGTTTGTAGAGATGCTGACTTTCACATTCACCTAGTGCACAGTCATGAGAGAGAAGCAGGGGATTGGATGACATGCCTTTGTACTGTCACTTGGCAACATTTGTACTTTGAAAGTCATATTGCTGACAATCAGTCTTTAGGCTTAAAATAATTCCTTCAACTGCAACCACTCGGGCATAACACCGTCTCAGACGGGAGTCTTAAGCCGTGGTTTAGCTTCAGTGACAGTGACACCTGCTTAACACCTTCAATCCGATAAAGCGATTACAGTGATGATGACGCGACTTTATTTGGCAAATGGACACTTGACTTTCCACTTGACATCATGAAGAAATTACTTTAGGAAAGTTTCATTACCCAAGGGAAATTGAAGAGGCAAAATTAACTGCCACACACTATTTGCATGCCTATCACTCAACTCCTTTCACACTGAGAAAACTGTCAGTGGCACATTTTGTGGACGAGAGTGTCAAAAGAGAAAGTGAGTAGAAGGTACTTACAATGCCTGAGTTATTGTACACCTTTTTCCGCCGAAATTTGGACCGATTTATTAACTAAAAGTGGCAACACTTTAAGCAGGCTAAATGATACCTTCTGTGATGAAAAGGACAAAAGTATTACCTCAAAGTTTTTTCCTTCCTGTGAAGAGGTCAGCAGACACCTTGCTGTCGTAATAAACTCTCCGATCACGTCACTGTTGGGGGAGAGGGGGAGGAGGGAAGGAGGGGGTGGATGAGAAGGTTGTGAGGTGGGAAGAGAGGCGCATCCAATTCCCTTTTTACCGTTCCAACAACTTAACTTACTCAATGTCCGGATCAACTGTATCTCTAGATGAAAAGAGAGAAGTAAAGAATACCTGCACAGACTTTTACTAAGGACGTGGTAACAGTTGTCGAAGCTGATACCTGCCAAGATTAACCGAAGCTGTAGATAAGCAGCAATCTCACTAATTTGTCTTCATCTACTGACAGATATAACCAGACACATTATCTGGCCTTGACGCCTTGAGGACCTTTAAATATAAACTTATCAAATCTGATTCAAGGGAGCAGATAATTTGTGTATCGAAAATCATGAATGCCTTTAAATAGGATGTGGCTTTGCCCCCCTAAAATACATACCATCCTTTAATATCGGCTGTCTTTTCTACTTTGGCGGGGAAGATGATTTTATGCTACGGTTTTAGACAAAAGAGCATCTCAAGGAAGATGAAGAGACACACACACACACACCCCACCCAAGTATAAGTCATGCGAAGGTAAGGAAGCGTACCCTTCGCCATTCGCTCCGTCCCAATCGAAACATCGGAAGCAAATTTCACTATAAGGAAGAAAAATGAAATGAGGGTTGCAAGAGCACTAAGTATGCGTGTGTTCGAAAACGAGTTTTACAATAAAAGGTGCTTGAAACGCCTTCTGCACTGGAGAGGGGGGTGGAATTAGGCATTACAAATGAACTGGGCATGAGACCTGTCAAGGTTGCCTTCACACAGCCTATCCAGGGATATGAGGAGAGGCTTCCAGTCTGGCGCAAGAGTCTTCTTGACAACCTCACTTTGGTAGCACCTCTCCCACCTACAAAATGAAATTCTCAAAGCTCAGCATGGTTTGATAAATGAAGCATGTGAATAGAACATGTGCCATGCAATATGTGAACTTTTTTTACGCCCTCCGGCGAAGCAACTCCTCCCTTTAACCGATCACAATGAGGGGAAAATTATGTTAGTAACAGACACAGGGGTAATATATTCTGAGCAAGAATTTAAATTAGTCAAAGTAGTTTGCTCTTAATGGTTGAAAATATTAGCGAGGGGAGGATATAGACCTACTTTCCACGGTCATTCCGCCGGAGGATGATAATGTAGGGATCAGATTTCCCAAACATATCCTTCTTGTCCAAGCCTACACCTTGCATTTTCAGGATAATGTTTTCCTATGGTCGAAAATAGGAGCGTTAAGCATACACACATCCGAGACTCTCTTGTGTGCCTCAACTGCTTGAATCATGGCTTAAGGTGAATTTCATACAAAGTCAAAGTGTTCGCCCATCAATTCTCTTTTGGACTCCACTCCGAGCTACCAAGGAGTTGCTGTTTCAAATGATAAGTTATGTGCCAAAAGAGTTTCGCCAAAATTCTTCGTATTTTGCACTTAGAAGTCCGCCTTTGTACTTCTATCCGACAGATTAAATTCTCGAGCCATTCAAAAAACCTCAAAGCCCTTCAGGGCGTGTTTTATTCCTCCTTTTACATATACCACCTCGATCGGAATGTCAGACGGTAACCTTGTGAGTACTTTCCGATGGTATGGATAATTAATATGCTTACTACGGCTATAGCCGCACTGTGCGTAAAGTTGCAACTGCTTTCAAAAGCTAGCTATGCATCCCTAAGGGTACCTCACCTTAGTCGAAGGCTCTTCCCGAGTGCAAACTACAAAACAAGCAAGAGAAGGAAAAGGCAACTATTTTTGCCACATTGTTTACGTAAAAATCCTCTTTTGCAATTTTGCCTCTAATTACAAGTTAATTGCCCTTTGTTGCAAGGCCTCTTTTCTTGCCTATCAACAGCAAATATTTTCATCCTTTCCTTTAAGAAGGATTTGAGGCTAAAGGACGACTTTCCCATGCATTTGAAGCAATTTATTGACAATCATGTAAAGAAATGGAAGAAAAGAATGCGCCCTAGGATGTAAGAGAGGCATGGTGGAAAAATAAGCTTAAACTACACCTTTATCGTTTAATAAAACCTTTTACCGCTAAAATTTTCCTATTTTTGCTTTAAATTAAATAGTTGGCAGAAGACAAAATAATGCTTTATTGATCTGTTGGCTATCCGCGAAATTTGAAAATCACTCATTCAGTGTACTTCCCCGGAATTCGCTACTTAAGTGTAAATAAAGTAGCGTATTGCCATCTTGAAATTTGATTCAACGAACCAATTCTCCAGGTATTTTACCATTGAAACTGACTTCTCTTTTTAAAATGAACCAAAAATAAACAGACGATACGTTGAAATGAGGGTATGCTTACGTATGACCGATCCATTAAACGTTTCCTCCTCACTGAAAGAGCCCTGAGGCTCCCTAGAAGCCACTCTAAAAGTTAAGCAACAGCTAATCACATTTGTCAATTACTTTGGTTTAAGGTGTGACATGCTGAAAAAGTATCCTGGTTAGATTTTGATGGGACGAACACCATTTTTACAAGAAGTGGACAACTGATGGTATCTTACAAGGGACAGTCTACACACAACTATTATGGCTGCTTGCGACGTCGTGTCTTTTATGCGTTTAATTAAAAGATGGCCTAAATTAATTCACATTTATGTAAATGAAAGGGACATTAATGGCAGATGAGAATGAGGAAGGAGGTGGGACCTGAGATGCGACCGTTTTTTGGACTATCAGCGTACTGCGGTGACCGGCTGTAGTCTTGTGCATCGACCCAAAGTCTGTACCACAGACGCTCCACAGTGGTCAATGGAGCAAGTCAAATGAAGCAAAAGGTTAAAACTTCTGTTTGTTACACCACGGCTAAATGCACAATGGTTAAACAAAAGCATAATTTTTGTGAGCAAACCTACTTGTTAAGTCCTTAGTTTCTAGATTGTAGAAGTCTATCCCTTGTTGACTTTACCGTCATTTATTGTTGCATGAGATATATTTTGAGAAAATAGGTTTTATAATTTAAAGGGACTAACGTGCATGGTAGCAATCAATCCGTTTAAGCCGAACCATTAAAACGGGGTATCATGTTTCCGAAAGCTACCACTGTTGTGCCTCAAAATGTAAGCTTTTAGCTTAACGATTTAGGTAAACGTTAAGAACATTCTAAGTTCAAGTAATTAATTGACATCTAAAGCCGAGATTTTGCAGCTCTAGAGATTTTTGCAAAAGAATTTCAAAAAACCTGACTTCGGGATTTGTATTCCCATTTTTCACATTTAAGTAACGTTCGGTTTCCATTGCCATGCCTCGGAACATCAATGAGATGGCGTCAGTTTATTTTAGTGTGAAAGAGCTCCTTCCTACCTTAAAGGAGCTTCTTCCTCGCCACCGCTGTGAATAGTTCGACCAACCGAGATTTCAGTGCTGCCGAGCAGTAAAGAATCCTACGGGCAAAAACCTTATCAGCACTTTTACTCATTAAAAAGGTGTTGCTTTATGCTACTTAGTTCTGGCACTTTTCTGTTGACAGCATGCGTCAGTTGCGATGACTGACACCGATTAACCTATCTTGTCAAGAGATGAATTTGGCTAAGCATTACAAGGTACTTAGCGACTTATTTAAGAATTTGGCATTAAAAATAAATTTATCTTATTTCAATATTAAGCAACTACCAAGTTCAAGATAAAAAGAAATCTAACTTAAATTTAGATGGCACATCCAAGCATATATATGTTTCGAAACGTTCAGTTATTCGTTATTGTGAAGCCATACTGCTGCAAACTAAAAGTCCTTGTCGGTTATTTGATTTCCAGGTTACTTTCCAGAAAGAAAGCAAGCTATGTTGACTAAAAGTGATGTTCCACGTGTTTTCTCTTTATTTCCACATTCGCACACACAAAAACCTACTTTTTGATTTCCTTTTGAGCATTGGTGCCTAAAGAAGATAGCGCAAAAACTAAGTTTATGCAAACTTTCTAATAACCACCTAGTTTTCAAGCTGAAAATACAGAAACTTACAATTCAATCAGAATTGTTTGTTTTTCCTCAAAAATATAATCTATACACATATAAGATCTGAATTGTATGAAAGAAGAAACTGGTTGGATTTCCGTCTCAAAGCTCTAAAAGTGACAATAAAAAGTGCTTTCAAGGGCCAGAGCAGATGACAAGACAACAGCACCTAGTGGGCGCTATTCTAAATGCTACAATTAACTTCAAATGAAACTTTTGATAGTTAAAACAAAGCAAGGTCGAAAGAATATGCTTTAAGTCACCTCCAAATTTCAATATAAGTTCCTTTAATTAGTAGCACATGCGTAAATATGATTTATCAACCAACATTTTCCGCATTTTTGTTTGGAAAATGGCACTGGGTTATTTATGAGGTCTGCGCCTAATGGAGTGCGCTCTCCTCTTTCACGCATTTGCGTGTGGTCTTAAAAATTCTGCAGGATAAAATTTATCTGATGACAAAGCAACATTACTTTGATGTCAACTTTCATGCCTTTTGTCAGAGTTTTCTATCGTTTCATAGCAGCAATTATTGATAAGGTGGTACCCAAGAAACCAAATTCAAGAAAATATATTAAATAGAACCCAAATTGAAGTTGTACTTCTAGTCATCATATTTTACATGATAGCAAGGAGAGACAAAGATTATCCACTTCAAGGGAAGACTTACATTTCTTGATTGGAAATATCCGCATGAATTTAAAAATATCCTTGCAAAAGTGTATCTGGCATTGGTTTTAACACTCCTACAAAGAAAGCATATGCAAGGAGACTTGGACATGATGTTGCGACATTGGAAGATTAGTCGAGGACACTTAAACAGGCCCATCGCGAATGTCTTTTACAGTCAAAACATTCTTAAGTACATAATAAGGAGAGTTTGTTGGTAAATGAGTGATGAATATGAAGCTAATTATTTGCGAATGACCATAAAAATTTGTCATTAATGTAAATAATGTGGTAAGTTAGTTGCTCTGACAAACTCTGCCTTCCTTCTCTCATCCCAACTTCATGTCAAAGCGGTGACAGAGGCACAACTTTTTGATAGAGCCTGCCTAGATCTCTCGATAACACACATACAGAATTCGCGTGGCTTGTTTTTGTTGGACACAATGATGGCGACAGTAAACTGATACTACTGATAAACTACCCATAATGCTCAAATCGAAGTCTGGTTTCCGATATCCACTTTGAAAGGGCATTTTGATGTTAAAAAGGACCGTCATATTAACCGCTCCATTTTATGTACATGGTGTAGAGCCAGGGAGTGTTTGAGCTTACAAACCAATTGAAAGCACTGTTTTTATGCCGTTTTTGACCAAATGTTTTAAAATGACGGCCTTGGCAATTATAATTGCTGTTGCGCTGATTATCCAATCAAAATGGGATGAATTTTCCTTTGCTAAGTTCCAATTCCTCAGAAAGAAGAGAGTTGTCTTACGGGCTTATGCTGTGGCAAGTAAAGGGATCGTCTAGAAGTGGAATGCGATAGAAGACATCCCTTCTTAGACTCCATACCAGTGAGTTGACAACTCTGCGGGAAGGCAACACGCAAGGCCGCATTAACTTGATTACTTTTCTAGCTTTGCTTACTTCAATAAAACAAAGGCTTATGTTTGAAGGCAAAAGAAATAAAAGTGTCGCAAAAAACATAAAAATATCGATGTCACCTCCTCCAAAATCGGGGGAAGAGCGTCACCCAACCCAACTGGATGGATACATTAAGAGAGCAGGATAGAATGTGAATGGTGGGAGCGGCAAATATGATGTGAGAAAAGAGCTATATCACATAAACAGTAACCACCGTCTAAGCTAATTTTAACCCCCAAGGAATCCATCTGACTGTTCTGTAGACGATTTGCAAGCATTAGCATCTCCTCATTCCGTATAAACGGTAAAATTTCGCACCTAAGGAATGGCGGGGGTAAAATCGTCCGTGTAATGGCAAAGAGCATGCACAGCTGTGGTAGTAGGCATGGAATGCGCTCATGAGTCAATACATTAGGGAAGTAAACAATGAGAAAGGGGAGATAATAAAGGCTAGGATACAGCAAAAAGCTACCTAAAGGAGAATCCGAGTTGAATTTTAACTCCAGTAGGCATGGCTCGGGAAGGAGAGGAGTGCACGATCAAAATGGAGGCGGAGGAGGTGGTGGAGGTGAAGATGGTGGTGATTGTGGTGAACTCTTCCAAATAGCGTCAACAGGTGAACATGACGACTTGACTGAGGCGTGTGTGCCAGGGGCGGTGGAGTTTTATTGCCTCACACTCTGCAAATCCAACACTCCCATTGGTCACTTACCGCCTTGCAAATCAAATTTGACCAATGGGCTAGGCATATTGGGAGGTTTCACTCTTCGAGTCGAGAATTCTTATTTATGGGCTGTGGCATCCCTAAAGTACACATCGGGTATGACAAGAGGAGTCAAACACCTAGCCTGAGTCTAGTGGATCGGTCATTTACTTGTAGCACCAGAGAGATCGGCGATGCTCTGAATACCTCTTCTAAAAAAATGAATGAGAAATTTAGCTGCAACCACAGGTGGGAAGAAGGACTCAGCTGAAAAGCTTTTGTTAATATCCACCTGATGACCTTTGATCTGAAACTTAGAAAGCCAGAACGTTGGAATTTATGAAGCAGGAGGACTTAAAGAATTGGCGACTTATGTAATACCTTACTGACTGTATCTCAGAGCTATTGGACTTCCCCATTTTGGGGGATCACGTCACCATCTACAAAGAACGAGATCCCTTCACTTAAGCCGCCTGAAATTGAGGAGTGAAATGAGGACTAAGCTGCCTGTTTTATGCATCTAGAGTCATCAACTTCAAGAGAGACAGCATGGTTGCGTTTGGGGTCGCAGGCACAACCGCATTTGCCAGATTGGACACCTACCAATATCCAACCAACCGCAAAGTCAGGATATTGCTAAGTTACTTAAGCACCTGAAACACTCACTGAAATCTCCGCTAAATGCGGCATAAGAATGTGGCAAGTTAGAATTTGAATGAAGAAGAAAGAGTAGAAAAGATGAATTTGGTTGCACGATCAGCTCAATTTCCTCCCAGAAGGGCGGAATTGCAGCACGCAGCTCATGCATAAGCATGCTACAATTTCTTTGCTGTAAATGTGCCGCTTCCTCTACCCTCCTTCTCCTCCCACTGCAGTTAAGGGGGTTAGCCCACCATCGTTGACGCTAACGCCTCTGGCAGGTAGCCACATGCTCACTCCTTCATGGCTGGAGCAATAGCTTTGTGCAATCGGGCCAATTTACGTTCCTTCATTTTCCTTTCCTGTCTCAAAATCACGTTTAAGTACGTGTAATAATGTGACTATTCCTCCAGCCGCGTGGCCAAAGTGCACTTTTATTCTTTGTCCACCCTCCAAAGTGCACTCAATAATTGGCATTGACGCCCCTAAATGATAAAATTTAAGTTTAAATTACGATGGTCAAACACGCAATCTTAAAATTACTGAGTGCTTGTCGAAGGCTGCAACACTGACGATCAGTCTGTTGCTGCAGCCCTCCATTAATTGCCTACCTGGCAAAGGCAACTGTTTAAGACTTCTGCCTAACGGTCTGATCTTGACGTTTCCATAAGTCGCATGTCTCTCCCTGCGTCAAAAATGGTGTCTTCTTTCGCCTTGCAGAAGTTCCCAGTGGAACAGGCCATTTGCTGCAAAGTGACGCAGGACCATTATTTGATACTCTCTCAGTTTGCACGCAAGGATTTGGCATTGAGCAAGAAATCGTGAACGATAGATCGCATAATTCTCTCTCTAAGTGAATCAAACTTGCAAATTTAACTTTGTCAAAAACAACAGAGCTGCCATTCGTCACATTTTGCTCATTTAACTGTCTACTTCATTCTGCATGTGATTGCCTGGCGTTGGTGTTGTCAAGAGATGGCTAAAAGAATTATTACTTGAGGCTTGGATTCGAAGGTAGGCTGAGTTTGGAGGCGCATTTTCAACGCCTCCTCCCCTTGCTCAAAATCTTAAGCACCTTCACCATCACCCAGCTGAATTCTTTAACTTGTGGCATAAAGGTTGTGTTCTGGAGTAAATCATGCCCGTTTCAAACCAGGAGGCATTCCTAATCACCTCCAGTCGCTTTCTGACAGGTTTATGTTATGATGGTCTCCTCTGTATCCCACCGCACAATGGTATCACACACCTGTTAGGACTAATAGCCCGAATTACACTTGTATTTGAGTTTCATAGTTAGCGAGGTGTTTTAAGAAATTTATGATGCGCTCGTTGACTTACTGATCCTCAGAGAATAGAAGTGCAAACCCTATTGGGAGGCTTAGTCCTGTCTGCCAGAGGTGTCGACCTCTGATGCAAGGTCTTGAAAATATCTTACTATGCTTACCAAGTTGATAGCATCCATTGACTTTCTTAGTATAGTTTAAAAAGCAAAATACTAATAAACAAAGTTTCTCTTAAAGTCAAAATCCCCGATTAGCTCGATTAAGGAGGTCGTAGAATTGACACTACTGAGGTCCGAGTTGAACGTCTTTACCGTTGAGGACAAGCTCATGTCTCATCATTGAAGGTGATTCAAATTTAAGCATGACATAATAAGGCTTTGGATAGGCGGAACTGAAAGTTACTACGCTATTACAAATTTTATTACACATAATCCGATTCCTTAATTGCTTCAAACGCGTCCCAACAAGTTATAACAAGGTGTTGGGGAAAAAGGCGACTTCTTAGGGGAAGGAGAGAGATACCAAGGCTTTGACAAACAGTAATGACGTTCAAAGTAAAACAGTTCCAATGAGTGAACATCGTTGCCAAGCAACCCCATTTTAATTCAATTTAGTCATGTCAACAGGCTGAACGACAGTAGGTGTTGTGAGTAACTCTTAATGAAACCACCTCATTGGCATTCTGGGAATAAATAAAATAAATTAGCACCTGAAATGTTAGTCTCAAAAATCCAAAAGATCAGTGTTTGTCAATTAGACTGGCTGCGCTGTATCTGCTTTAGTGGATAATTAAGGTTTGTGTGGAACTTGATGTCATGTATTCGTCTATAGTGCTACTTACATTGTTGTAGCACCACTTGACACAAAATTTCCACCTCAAACACCAAGTCGTAGAGGATTTAAAACCTGGTTCGAATGGGGAAACGCAAAGCAGGAAGGGAAGAAGGCTCTCTTAGCATTTTTCTAGCGAGATTTATTTAAGTTGTCTGTGATGATTAGCACGTTCTCCTAACGCAAAAAAAAAATTGAGCAACCACGTGCAAAACGGGAATATCAGGCAAGAGGGGCTTAAAATTTTAGGAAAAGTAACCATTTGCTCAAATTTGTGAGATTGAAAAGCTTGCAAAAGCCAGACTTAATAACAGCCTTCATTTTAAAAGTAGAATTAGCAGAAGTATACTACTAACATACTATGTCTAGATCGCCAAGCTCAAAAGATGGTGACACTTCTCAAAATACTTTCATAATTAGGAGGACACTTTGTGTTAACAGTGAACAGTATCATACAAATACCCCATTTGAACGTGACGATCTCAAGCACGCTTCTTGGCATCCGTTAAAAATAAACATAACCAGAATATATTATCGAGTTAGTTAGATAGTGAAAAAGGGATCAAATTCTGCAATGGTCCCCTCGATTGATCTAGCTGCAACATACCCAACATATCGTATGCCATAATAAGGAGGACCAGCAGACATTTTTATGGAGGACTAATTTGTTTTTCCTTTTTTATAATAGGTTGACCCCATATTCAGATTCATCCAAGGTCATTTTAATGGGTATATATCTCTGGTCACGAACTAATAAAACAAAACCATGTAAATGTTAATTACAAAACACCTACCGACTATCAACTTCACATGTTAAGCATCAAAAAGTAGCTTAGAATTTCAAATTCTTCTGCATACATATATTACAAATTTCGTTTGCTCACCCAATTTAACTTATGGGAAAGCATTACTGCGACCTTAAATCTAGACCTTAAAAACGAAATGCATCCGTCTTAAACAAAATGCGAGTCTCCGGCTGATTACATGAATAAGTGATGCGATCATTAATATTTGTGTCTGGAGGCCCAAGGATGTGCTATCATCAGTAATTATTAAGGAAGCACTATATATAATAGGCTTAATGCAAGCATCAGCAGCTAGATAGAGGGAAACAGCAGGCCTATAAAAGCGTTTTCGTTTGCATTATAATAAATTTAAAAGGAGATTATCTTATTGAGAACTGGTAATACGATAATGTTGTGCAGTTAGTTAGCAAGTATAAATGCTAAATATAGCGATAGTTCCTTCGTTACCTAGGCCTGCATTCTTAGACAAACAGTTTTGTTCCGTTAAAGCAATTAATTGCACCCAAACGTCTTATAAATTATGACTGCCTGTGGCTTGCAGCACATAATTAGAATAGTTAACGGGGAGCATTCGGGAACAGGTGTTGTGTGCTTTACTTGGGCATCAGGGTGGATATTTTTGACTTAAATAAACAAGTTAATTTTCGTCATGTCTTTGTCAATTTCCTTAAATGTTATTTTATTAAATTAGAATTGAATGGGCACATTTGTGCATTAACATTGTAAGACAACATCATTGTTTCGACAAGAGATCGTCATGGCAACAAAGAGTTATGATCCAGTCGTGGCAAATTTATTGAAGAAAACGAAAAGCCACATACATATACCTTTTGTGTGTCTATGCATTAGAATTTTGCCGTCTTTTAGTGACTGGTTAACATGAATGCTCTGAGTGTTAAAATTAGAATAGCTGCTTGCATCGGACTTCCTTGCTGCCAAAAAATTTTGCGCGTTGCCTCGTTTAACAAAAAAATATCATCAGCAGTGCTTAAAAAGTTAAGAAATTAGGCGCCATCCAAAAATAAATATTACTTAAAAGACCCTTTATGTTGTACAACTTATGAAATCTTGCGAAACGACTAAGTGCTAGTCTAGCCGCGCATGACCCGGCATGGACTACTTTTACGGCTAAACCTCTGAGGAATAAAAGTCTGTTTTCCACAGGACAAATCATCTCGTGGACAGATAATGAGATTACAGCATTGTTTTCCAAGTACTAGGAAGTATTTTTATGAGACATGGTTTCCAGCGATAGGATCTAGCAAAGCTACCATATAAACCCCAATAATGGCGGCAAATGTAATGGGTGGCCTTGATGAAATTCTCTTATCAATTATTCTGCTACTAAGTGCACCACATCATCGGAACTTTTAGGAAAAATTATTGGCCGAAATGTGTTCAGGTTTACACCCGTATTTCCTCCCATATTTCAGTATGTCATAGACGTTACTTAATTGCATTATGAAGTGAGCAGGAGCCGAAGTGTGTTTCTCCATTTACCGTTTATTTTTGCATGCAAATACAAAACCATTAATATTTTAACTTATCCAGACTCAGACGTGTAGAGGATGAAGTAATAGATGGTCAACTGCCAAATATGAGGCATTTTGCAATTTATCCCTTGGAATTTTGATGGCACAAATTGTTCACAAAATCCTCTCATGTTAAGTGCCCAAACATGTCCTAATTTATCCAGTTTATAGATGTTTGAAGATTTCTAGAACAGTAGAGAAGTCAAAAAATCTCAATTAGGGTTGGGGTGGAATATGACACACATACATAAAAGTTTGTCTTACTTCTCGAACTCACTTTTCCGAAGTGCTTGTAATCCGCAAATTTAAATTATTTTATTCGAAGGCCCAAGGCATAAATGAGTTAGAAGCAAAGCACACAATTTGAGGAAAATGCATACCCCTAGTTTTAACCATCTACCAACTACAGCAGTCGTATTATGATTTTGGGGCTTTCAGCCGCCTTTAAGTATCAGCCCAAACGACATTAATTATGTTGATAAACGGTCCTTATTAATTGCGTAGTTAGTTAAAACAAATTGTGGGTCATCAACAACTGTTGTTGTTAGCTTTAGATTAAGTACTGGAATTTAAAACTTGGATGGAGTGGAATTGGTTAGAGTAAAATTTAAAATTGTAAATGTATTGAATTTGTGTAGCTACTCGTCTGTAATGTAAGGCCTTAAGTATGACTGGAAATCGCGATATCTGTGCTAGGGTCTCTCAATACAATTGTTTTACTGATGTAAAATCAGTAGCATGGGAGTCCTTCAAAACATCTTGACGTCTGTTGGAAAGAAAAATTTAATAACTACTGACACTTTCTACGAACCACTAAATAAAGCAGTCAAAGTGATGGGAATGTATTTATTGTGGTGTTATACATATGATCTTTTCAATTCGCAGATTCCCGAAGGATCGCGAGTAGAAAAAGACGACAATCGCCACCAGTTTCCGTTTTAATCATTTCACCTAATGGTTGTGGATAATTGGCATTGTAGTAATGTCTGATTAGCGCGAGATCCGACTAAAATAAGGTGAAATCGAAAGATTAATCATTCTGTATGCTACTTGCTGGGAAGTAGGCATTTAGTACAATGATAGCAATTACTCTCATTTCTTTAAATTCACGATTATTAATGGATAAACCTTGTCCACAAACATTGTCGGTGCAAAAGTAGTCTACAAGCAGGAATTCTCACCTCCGAGTGTCCAACTACCATTCTGAAAAGTGTGTCATCCCGGGTTTCTGGAGTCTTTGGTGATTCGTAAAGTATTTTTGCGAAGCACTTGATTCGGTTGGTGGCAGCTTCCACTAAAAGATTTCAGTCATTTTCTATTTATAGGCTTCGTCTAAATAAAAGCTTTTTTGTTTCTCATTCACTACGTAATGCCATTATAATGTTTAAGCTTTCAGGTTGTAATTTCTGTACCGACCTAGACTGCCTTCCTTGTGGCCTTCGGTTTGTGGTTGTAGTACACTAATCCCTCCTGCACGCAGTCAATAAGCGCATCAAAGTACTAATGCTAAAAAGCTTTTCTGCCTGTAATTTATGCGTACTGTCAGTGCATTTTATTGTCCTATTTTAACTTACAGATGAGTTGAAGACCCCTCCGAAAGTGGCCTCGAGTCTCCTTTTCCACCGCCTCAAACAGTCCATGTCCGAATGACTGATTGAAAGGGAGGACATTTAAACTTTACCTGTAAATGCTTCACCAAGGTGTTAAAAGGGGCGCGCTAACCTCTGCATACACCTCGTCGGTTTTTCGCAGACTCTCCCAACTCCGAGTGGCAAATATGCGAATGAAGGTGGAGTCGTCCGTTCCCATTCGGCTATAAAATATGCTCATAAATGTGTCGCCTAGTCAGCGGATGATTTTATTGAAAAAAGTGTATTTTTCACCTTTTGGCTGCCATTTATTTGGAGTAGGTTGTAGGTATATCCACAAATTCTTCTTTTGGTCAAGATGATTTGGTGAGTTAATGCGGAAAGTTTTTTTAACAAGATCTGTAAGTTATTTAAGTCGAGATTTTGGGATGCGTTGTTGACTTTTACTATACGGTTTCGTTTGTGGAAATTCACAATCGACTTGTCAAGCGCTGGTGCGTATTGGGGTGAGACAGGGGATCTGCGATGAACTTCAGCAAATCTCCCACCCTTGCTGGCAGAATGCAATCCACGAATGCGGTTGTGTGTAGGCAGCACTTGGTGAGAAAGAATCACGAATACAAAGTGGTGCTGAATAGTGACAAAATTTATTCCCTTTAAAAAGGGTTTGTCATTCTTGGTGATCTCTACACTTCCTCGCCTTCCACCGAAGCTCCCAAGAAGAGGAAAAAGTGGCCATTAGTGATCAGTGACGTTACGATCTGTCACCACTAAAGCCGCACTCCAAGTCAAAAGCAGAGTCGACTGTTCGTGATTGCGAATTCTGTAACATCCAGTCCCGTATGCCAGTTAAGGAGAGAGAGTTGGCGCGATCACTTGAAAGGCGCGGGTGAAGTGTTATGCGATATATTCTGACCGCTTGTACGACTCTCCGATTCTATCCGAGAGGAACTTATCGTACCTCAGGTGGATTCGTACTGATCAGAGTGGCCTTCGATTTGCCCTACAACCTCTCCGATCCATCTGCTCCATTATTTTGGTCTCGTTCGTACCTAATAGAGCCTCCGAACGATGGGACAACCAATTTATGATGGCACCCTCTTTAGTCAACCCGGAATTCTGCACGTCAATGGGAGCAAATGTGTTAAGTCAGAAGAGTTAAAAGTCTCACCTTTGTTGCCTGAAGCGATTGTTTGCAAAAATGTTGCTTTTTGTAGTCTATTTGGCATGGATGAATGTTCAGACTCACCCTTCACCAGCATCGTAGAGAATCTTTGCGTCCATGGCGGCGATCTGAGGATCAAAGCTATCACTGCGCATTCCCTGAATTAGGGCGATCAAAAGTCGCTGAAAGTTGCCGGATGTGCTAGACTTTAGGTCGCTCTCCAGACCCTTTTGCTTTTCTAATAGCGTAAACACATTTTTATGTTCCAGACAGGTGTAGACGGATAAATCGTCGAAAATTGTACAGTCACGAAGTCGAAAGAAGGCACAATAAATGTACTTGATAAATCTTTGGTTAAATATAATTGTTACTTAGGGAATTTACGCTCGAGTTTGCATATTTTTTGTAAAAAATTAAGTGGAATGCAAAGAGGTAAGCAGCGTTTGGGATTTTAAGGCACTGACTGACAGTTGTAAACTACTTCCTGCTCATGTCAGTAGCCATTCAGACCGTCAGGACCTCAACGACGGAAGGGAACCGCATTAAAAACCGCGAAGAGCACTCCATTTAACAACTAACTTTGTCTCTAGTGGAGAAAGACATTGTATTCGTTGACGATGTCCACTTCCAAAAATAGCTTCATTTATTCGGTTTGGGGGAAAAGTGCCAACATCTAAAGTCGTGGTGTTAAGTATGTGTGAGAAGATGGTGCGAATTTGCCTACCCCACCAACCAAGGGACGTCAAATTAAGGAGCACGGGGCTCCTCCTTCGCCTATGGACTAACTGAATGGAATTTCGCTATAAATTAACCGATTGGAATGGCAAGGAGAAATCTAACCACCACAAAGGCATTCAGTTCGATTTTTACTAAGTAGTCATGCTTTGTTTCACTTTTTACGATTTTTGCTAGGCATTCTTACGATTACTAATGCACAGTTCTGATTGTATGATGGTCTGTTTCATAGGAGGTGTCGAGAGAAACCGGTGATACTGCAGTCAGATGTCGTCTAAATGGGACTACTGGCGCGGTTTAGCTGAAAACCCTCCACCCACAGCACCAACTGCATTGTCATAGCCAACACGAAAGAAAAAAGCTAAAGGGAGCTTTGGAACACAATGAAATTCAAAGGCCAAGTGAAGACTGCTAAATCTGCCCTCAGTGATACGACTTTGCCAGAGGCCTTCACTCCTTCCCAATGCCAGCAACGTAAACGTTTTGCCATACTACTTCAATGCTTATGACTTTGAGAAAACCCTCAGACTATGAGGAGCAACTTACGATCTTTGTTCTCCTCCTGTAGTACTAGAAAAGGATAAAAATTGTTTAGGCTTCACCAGGTCCTACCAAATGAGTGCCTCCATTGCATCAAATTTCCCTCACTTTCTTGGTAAGCCAATTTGATGTCGCGAATTTCCTGATTGGTGGAGGTGCAAATGACCTCCATAAGGATGTTGTTGTGAATGTTCCTGCTTGACAGGGCCTTGTAGAGTGCTCTGGCATCAGCATGGCTTTGGTCGTCGAAAGAGGAGAGGAGGCATGTTTTGAAGTCGCCATTAATCTCTGTCTTCACCTTCGCTTTAAGGGACTGGACGGTGCAAAGGCAAAAAAGTTGAATCATGACTTAATAAAGGGAAAAAAGAGACTGCAACCGAGCTAAAGCAGTTTTCGGGCCAATGGGAAAAGGGAAGCATCTGTAAAGGAAACTAAAAGTTTTCATTTTAAGGAAAGAATGCGAAAGAAAAGGTGAGGAGATGTCGTTTGTAGTGCTCTGGTAGGAGTAAAATTGGCCCATGTCATTGCTGCCAATTTTGTGTCTGCTTTAAGTGCCTTAAAAGTAAAACAATGGGTGCGAAACGGGGTTACCAGCTACAGACAAAACCGTCACCTGTCAAATTTCTGCCACACCATTCCCATTGCAGGTCTCTAGAGATGCATATCATTTAAAAGGATTCCACTTTTGATACTTCATTGGAAAAGAAGGTTGAGAAATTTGGCACTCACCTCACCAAATCCCGCCTTGTAGGCATTCAAAATGAGACTGCGCTGAAACGTCGATCGGTTGGCGAATATGTCCAGCAGCGCTTCTTTGTTGTAACCTTTTGAAACGAATAAAGCTTTACAGTGCTCAGAAAAAGAGTTAACCAGCACTTGAAGGTAGCCACTCACCTTGTCCTGTAAAAGCCTCAGCCACTGCTTGGGCGTCCGCTCTGGGATTCATGAAAGATGCCGGCTGGACTGTTCCTCCTCGTAGCATTGTAGGGCTAAAATTAGCAAATATGCAAGCAATAACCTTGCACTTTGACAATTTAGTGAAAGTCTGACACCTAAAGACAAGGTTTCGTTAGATCAGTTTAGACGGCTGACGTACTACTTAACAAGGGGTGTAAATCGGACACAATTTAGTAGATTAATTTGGTTAAGCATTCAAGTGCCCACAAAAAATTTCCCTAACCTGCTTAAAAGTGGTAGCTGTGTGTCAAACGACCTCCCGAATTCGATGCAAGGGTACAGCGCTTCAAGCTGTCGCTCCGACGAGGTTACGGTGGAGTTGGAGATGGACTTATCTTACGCAAAGCGTCGTGATGCCAAGTGGCAAAGACCTTCACCAGGTGTCATCACACCTCGAAGTTGGCGCCACCCATTGGCTCGCATTTGTCACGTAAGTGAGACCGCAGTTATCATTCTCCTGACGCGATTGGCACCGTCGACGACACGCCATGCAATTGGGTTGTGTGAGTAAGTAAATTAAATGCACATTAAGACACACCTACGAAGTTGTGATCTCAAAGACCTCGCCACACCATTCTAAAGGATTTTCTGCGCAATCACTAGGGCTTAAAGGAAACAACCGAGCCATGCCGCTACTATAATGTATTTTACCTTAAATCACACTTGGTAAACATTTCCACTAACGGCACTTCAAAGCACTCGTTATTTAAACACACGCACATGCAACCTGCTTTTCCTTAGCAATCCAACAATTCAGGGCATTGCGCATATCGCTTAGACGATGTCACAAGTCTCTCTTTTTAGATACGTTTATTCCAGATTTGTAAAATTTTAGCAAACAGGTGGGGAAGTTGAAGTCATCAGTGTGAAAGGTGTACAATTTGAAATACTTGTGCAGAGGTGGATGCTACTAAAAACCGGAATCACAATTAATTCGACGACAAAATAGGTGATTGGTTTATCTTTCCTTTGTGTGCTGTCTTCAAATTTTTTTTCACAAATTAGGATCGTAGAGCAGACCTAAAGCAAAGGAAAAGTTTTAGGAATGCAACTAGCTTGATGCAATTACAGTCCTCCTCAGTTATTCAATAGTAACTAATTAAATGCATTTCGCCGTTGTTCTAAGCTAACCAATAAAAGAACTGCAAATTTTTCTCTTTTTTGAAGCATTTAAAATAGATTATATCATCAGTGAGATGAATTTTTATTAGAATAAAAGGGTGACTTCTTGTTAATCCCTTTTATTGAATACGCTATCCTTTGTTCCAGAAAATGATGCGTCTTTTTATGAGTATTACTTGGAACTCAATTTTATTTATCTTTAGCCATTAATGGAACTATAATTTTAATGATAGGAGCAGTAGTCCAGCATAATCAAATGCCGAACGAACATTGTGTAAAGGTTTGCGGTGTTAAGCTGGACTAAACCACCAGAAAATACAAATAATTGTTGATATGTCGCTTTTTACCACAACTGTTTTCGCAAAATGTGCACGAATTATTGCAAGACTTTTCATTTCTACGTAGCCTTGCTCCTTGGTATTCGATTTAAAAATTGAGCTACAAGTTAGCTCAAAGTCAGCTCAGGGAATAGCAGTTGTAATGAGGCTTGAAAACTATGAAGCCGTTTCCACTTGAGAGCTGCCTTGCGTACCAGCGAAGCATGCAGTAACGAAGGCAGCAATAGTGCCGCCAATCATTCCATGTACAACCATACCAGAGAGATCCTTGCGCCTGTGCGGCAGCATTTTAATGAAAGTACCCAAGAGAATTCCCACTGAACCAACATTCGCAAATCCGCAGAGCGCATATGACGAAATTACAATAGTTTTTCTGCTCTATATAAAATAAAGAGATTTAGACAAAGAAACAAAATGGAGAAGAAAATGTGTAGGAATAGGTGGTAATAAAATCCCATAACAGATCGTGGTTATTTGAATAAGCTAGAGTATCTAGGTGACTGTGCGCGGAATTATGAGGTTCATTAAAACACATATATCACACATTTAATGGAGTTTTTGCAATTTTGATACGCAAAATTTTTTTGGTTAACCTCAATATCTTATAATAATTATATTTATTTTTATTAAATTTTGTAAGACTTTAACCTTACTGGATTTTAGAAATGCAACCATTTAATATCTGCCAAAAAAGATTTTAAGTGATCTTATTTACTAAGCACCTTTGATCATTATAATTCTAAAAAGTTTTTTGATTGTACAAATGCAGACCTCATTGATTAACTGCTGTACTTTATTTTTAAGGGAAAATTTTCACTGCATTTTATACATCAAAACAAAACAAAAGTGGTGTCTTTCTTCTCAATAATGTCATTTAGTCGTTTACAGGTAAGAAAGAAATGTTTTTTTAGTTATATGTATATTGCCTAGTTAATATGGATACAAACTCACGTGAAGAAAGCCATACTGAAGGGTTTGATTGCTGCGACCATTTGTGATTATAATGGAACCGTTCGCCAAGTACGTGATAGGCAGTGATTTATTATGAAAGGAGTCGTAAATCGAGGAGTCCCTTATCAATTGACCTTTAAAATTTTAATAATTAAATATCTCTGACAACAGGTAAAACGTGGACTTAATTCTTATTGTATGCAACACAGTAGCATCCGAAAGTGCATTGGGACTCACCCAGCCTCTCAAAGGCTATAAATTCACTAAGCACGGTTTTTATACCAACCAGTTCTCCGACCTTAAAGCAATCTTCCGCTGGTACTCCCATTCCAAACGCGAGGGGCCAAAGTAGGTAGGCGAATATTAACTAAAAAAGAGCATTTTACCTGCTTGATGCATGCGAAATCGTTCGGGTTTGTAGCCCAAGTGTAACGCTGATGCTTGCCTCAAATGTAAGATCGCGCACCATGCCGATTCGATGGCCGAGCCAGGTGAGAATACGATTAAACACACTGAAGATGCTGAGAAATGCCATTAAATTGACAATAATCCCTGCACACAGCGGTATAGCTTCCAGTGCCCCAACCGTTGCTGCCTCAATTGGATTGGTAAAGGGGCTACCAAATATAATAATTCAAACTGTTTAGCCGTAAAAATAAGTCAAGTACTGAACCCACTTAGTACCACGGTTAATGTGACGAAGTAACTAACCAATCAAACTGTAAATTAGATGTGATTGTTCTAAATGTGATTAGCACAGGTAGGGATAACGATCTACATAGCATTTTTCCTTTGAATTTGCCGACCACAGCCGCAGATTGCAAACTCGTCTGTACGGTAAGGCGAAATATCTCCCCGACACGCAATGACAAGTCTACTTAGGTAATGCGGTGGAGTGTTATCATTAAGACGTGGACCAACTCCCAGAACACTAAAACATATCTGCAAAGCTACGAAAAAAGTTTTAGCACTCTAATGCACGCGCACTGTACACAGTGCATTTGAATCTCCCGTCCAAGCTTCACGGACGCTTTCCTACTTCAAAAGTCTCTTTCCCACAGAAATCGCATTGCTGTAAGTCAGTGGCCCATTCTTCACACTCCTCTTTATGCCAATAATGCATAGTTAGGCCAGATTTTAAGAAAATCGTTTGAGATGCTTTGCTGCCATGTTACATTCGCTCGATTTACCTGGTTGCGTTGTGCTCTGAGTGCAGACCACGCTGGTCGTCCTTGCTCTTCTGCACGTCCTACCGATTCCCGCTTTGAAATGGATCTAAGGCTGGTACAGTGCTAGCACTAGCTACTGCTAAGGCCACCATTAGTTGGGAGGAGATACGCCCAACTTTCTGTAGCTCAGTGGAGATGTCTTCGAGTCTCAATATGGCATACATTTATTACCGATATCAACAAATCGGTTTGTAAGGTCATTGTTTTTGTATCAATAAGTTAAAAATAATAATCAGTGGAGTAATGCGAAAAACTCAAATTTAACAAACGTTCGTTTGGTTTCCTTAAAGCCAATATCGGCCAGAAAGTGGATCCGTGAACTCCTTTACCGGCTCAAAAACGTAACTAACCTCGAATGAAGGGTGTTTCTTGTGCCCTTGGCTAAAGGAGCCTGTTTTGTCTCTGGGTAGAGGATTTTTGCGATGGCAAGCGCTGCTGGTGCTGACATGACACAAGCAATGAGAAGATGATTTGCAGGGATCTGTCAAATTCATTTGGCAGCATGTTAATGAGAAAAAATGGGTGACTGAAAACCCTGTTTGAGAGGGAAATCTGCACTTACCCCAAAGTTGATGTAGACCACCATAACGGGTCCAGCGATAGACGCGAATCCGTTCACCATGATGGCATGCAATTCCGAATTTGTCATTTGGGACATGTAAGGCTTGATTAGTAGTGGTGCCTCATTCTAGCGCGAATTGAAAGGCGCATAATTAGCAGGAGAAGTCTAAATTGACTACACATTCCTAATCCTTTCATCTATCTCGATGATATTTCTCAAGCTCCTATCGCAATTTGATGCCTTCATCACAGAAAATTAGAGCTTGAGATCCCCGCCTCCTTTTGGTCTTTTTCAGTTGTAGTAAAGACTCTCATACTCAGTTGGCACAAGCAGAACAAAGGAATGCCATATTTACAAAAAAATAATGTTTTTAAGAGTGATTTATTTAGACTATAAAAAATGCTGCTCTTAAATCTATTTCAATAAGCATAGTTAAGAAAACAACCTACCATCGAGAGGAAAATGTTTGTGATGGCGTTGACAGTCTCGGGTCCCGTCGTCCCCATTATGTTTCGAATGAAATTTGATGGTTGTATAATAAATTGTTGAACCCATCCAAGGTGAAACATTATTGAAATAAATGACGAAAAAAATACGACCAACGGTAACACCTGGAATCAACAGTTAGAGGAGCTCTTAGCTCAATGAAAGCTACAAGATACTCTTAAAAATTCATTTTATCTCGGAAATCTTAAGCATGATTCCAAACGACATTTATTATCTGACCCCAAGGTCTAACTTCTGCTTCAATTACCCATGAACTCTCAATTCCTCTTAAGGTTCGAAAAAGGGAATCACCACCGGTTCACACAACGGGTCCGATTTCTCCCATCGAAACCGTGATAGTTCATAAAGCCGTGTTTATTATCAAAGTGTTTTATTATAATTACGACTGCAAAACAGAACAGTTAGTCTCTTTAGAATTGCAAGCCTGACAATTTTAATCTAAGGCACTGGAGAAACCCTCCACTTGCAGTTACAATAATGTCAAAGTGCTGGAGCAGCAACCTTGAAATTTAAAAATTACACGCCATTTTTTAGTAATTCGGTGGTTATGTGTAACAATCACTTGTATAATAGACAAAATATTTTCGTTCATCATTACTATTTTAAACTTGAAGTTTTTTTAGGGCTACGGCACTGTATAGACTCAAAATAGGCCAGCGTCGTTTTTTCCTATTGCTTACAAACTCACTTAAATTCTTTACTTTAGTGACAACAATTGTAAAAAAATTTTGAGGGAATCTTGTAATTTTTTTACTGATCAAGTTTACGTAAGACTTGAGCAAGGTATCGTCTTAACTACTACACGGGCGCTTAAAGAAAACATGCTTTCGAAGCGCCACTACCTATTCGCAAGCAAAAATATTTTTATATACGAATTTACCTATCAGGTAAATTAGTTTACTGAAGAACAAAATCCTGTATTTTTTAAATATTGTTTTGCTGGTTATGCAACTGGCATTTTATATCACTACAGAACCCTCTGGAATAATATTAACTACCAAGAAATGACTTCACTCAGCCTAAAAAAGGTACGAATAGCGTTTCCATTTATTTTTCTGTAAGCAAACTGTTTTAGCTACTTATAATTTTACCGCAAAATATCTCAAAACCGATTTTACCTTGATCGCAAAGCAGTCCATTTGATAAAGTTCCCCAAAAACAAACGACGCTCCGACTTTGCTATTATTCATAAGCGCTGTGGTCTGAGCCCCAATGAATTCAAAAACTGTGTATCCCAACTTGGTCTGCAAAGTGAGGACTGCAAATGTGAACTGCAGAAAGAATCCCATCAGAACTGGTTGCCACCTTATCTAAATTAAAAACGAAAACAAACCTTTATTAAAGTGCAGCAACTTCGTGTGTATATATTCACTAAGGGATCGTGCTAAATTCACTAAAAAGTTCAACCCATTCCCTAGTAAACATCAACAGTACATTATACATTAAAAGTAATGTTGATATTTACTCAGAGTTTTGTAAACACTCGTCAAGCTGAAGGATTTTTTTAGCGTTTTGTCTTATCATCCCGTCGTGCTTTGTGGGACAACATTCATAAGGCCTTCAGTCTACTCTACGGTCGTGTTTTTTTTGCTGTTTTATCAGGGTAATCTAGACGCATCTCAGTGCCTCTTGAAAACGGCGTTTTATATTTTGTTTTACTTTCTTCCTCTTTCATAAAGTCCTAATTTATAAAAAGTGCGATCGCCTGACGATAAGGTGGATCTAAAAAGCATTGCTGAAGAAAGGAGTAGTAAAAGGGCAAAGAAGTTCTGACCTTGGCTGGATGAACGGAGATGAGCATACATATCAGGACCATTGCCACAATGCCAATGAGAGAGACCAGATTTTTGGGGTTTCGCATCAGAACAAAGAATATAAGGTAGAGTATTGTAATTACGACCAGCACCGCCAGTAGACACCTGCAAGCAAAAAGCTTAAAATATTTAAAACACGTTAAAAAAACTAGTAGTATTGCCTTTTCGTAAATTGGTGACTTAATGGCTGCTTCTTTTGCCGGATTTCAACGATATTTGTTTCGGCTTTAAAGGTAAAGTTAGCTAGGGTGATTAATATTAGTCTGTTGCAAATGGCAAAAAAGTCCTTCTTTAGCTTCGGCCTTGTTGTGAAACCTCCGTCTTTGTCGTGCAAGGAAAGAGCCTTAACCAAATGCCCACTTGACCCTTGGGGAACGCTTTAAGTAAATGTGTAGTTAAAAGAAGTTTACCCTTTGGTGATAGTATTTTTCCTGTAATAGCGAGAATTTTAAATTTCTAGCACAATGCAGTGAAATTCAATTGTGGATAGTGCGACTGCGTGTGCGTGTGCTACTTTTTGGGCAGCAAACGACTCTGCCTCCTCACTTTCGTCCGCGCGTCTGCCTTAACCGAGCACCGATGCCTGTGCAGGGGGACCAAGTCATCATCTTCAGTGAGAAGGCCTAAAATGTCTGTGTGGTACTCGCTTTTCTAAGTAAGTTATAAAAATGAGCTATAGTTATAGCACATTCCTGAGCACGAAAATACTGGTTAAACAAATTTTTAGTGAGCAGTAAACATGGTGCTTCTACTTAAATCTATTTAAGTCGACTCATTTTTCAATCAAAATGAAATGTCAGGCAGTTACTCGAAAAAGACTCCAATTGACGTCTAATAAAAGATCTATACAGCTTATGCATTTATGGACTTGTCAATCTTAGGTTTGATCTTTGCAGAAACGATAATAATAATAACTCTTTCGATACCACTAAGCAGTCCACTTGTTCTCCAAAAACAGGTCATTATACGCATTTCCTTTAAATAAAAGATGTGATAAAGATTACTTACAAGTGACTTATTTTCGTTCTTAACAGCAATATGTTTCGAGAACTTGGAGAGCACCTTGCAACCATCCTCTCCCAATAATGTTTTACGCCTGAATATGAGGATTTCCACGACTTGGACCACTTGTTCTTTAAGTAAACGAAACGGTGGAAACAGCCGCCACGTTCCTTCCCAATTATCTTGAGGTGATTAAATATCAGGATGAGTAGGATGATCCAAAAAATAGTGGACACCCACAAAAGCGTGATATCAGCCTCTGTTTGTAGCCGTCGCACTTCTACAGCATAAGCAACAAATATGATATCGCCCACGAGGATGCCAATCTTTAAAAGCAGGCCAAAAGTGCTTTTCTGCGTTTTAGAGGTTGATAAGCCATTTCCGTTCTCCACGCTCTTCTCAGAAGTGCTAAAACGACTAAGGAAGCGAGAGTAGGCCTGAAGGACACGATTCAGCGCATTGTCGGTCTGGTTTGGCAAGTCGGGAAAGTCATTCTCCGTCCACTCACATACAGGTTTTGGCAAGATCTTCGAGATGTCATCGAATAGATTCTTATCGATGGTTTTCAGCGGTTCTATCTCTTCAGTTGCTTCAGACTCCGTACCATTGAACTTAAACAAATGAACGAATTCAAGTCACTGTCACTGATATCATAGACTTTTATCATAGGCAGGCAATAGGTCATCAGTCTACAACGACTAACTCAATTTCCATGTTTGTGTAAAATGGAATTTAATCAAAAGACTGTTACATTTAAACCAATGAAGGTAAAGAACCAAGCACAAACTGGCGACTCGGAATAATGAACCTACATATGTGACGTTATTTTCAAGACCCGTCATCAATTATCTGTCGAATGGAGGAGTGCAGTTGAGGAATCCCTTTAAATTGAGCCGGTAGCTCATTTATCCAGACCTCATTGGTGCCATTGGATTGGCCAATTCCAAAGGAAAGTGGTGACCTTGAACGTAGCTCTCTGATTGGCTCAAGCCACAGATATGCTATGTAGTCATAAAATGCGATCGCAAATCCCACTATTTTTTCGGCGAAAAAGGGATTTTAACACTCACACTGCTGTATCCTTAATTATTCGATTAATATAACTGATTGTCGTAGTAAAGTTGGGCAGGAACTGCTTTAGATGAGGTAGAAATAAAGAGAAGGTGAACCTGTAAGCCGTTATGAAGTTATTATGACAACTCATATTTTATAACTGATTCAAAACGTCCAAGTTTTGCCTCGACATTTTTACAAGGTCATTTAAATATGATCGAGACTAATAATGGAAAATCTTAAGGATTTGATACCACAAATAATTTAACATCTTAAACATCAGTGAATATACTCAGCACGATTTCAATCAATGACAACAACTAAAGTTTGCAAAAACTTCGTAAGACGGCGTACTGTCGAAACGGGGGCGAGTTAAAGTGGCACTCAGTAAAACTATATGATTGAATCTGTTGCCCTGTGGTACGGACTTTGAAAACTAAATGGACAGATGAAGTGTCGCACCAATTTTGGCATCTTTCGAAACGAGCATTTTACGAGGATCTTCATGCCACCAATGAAAGCAATCATTGAATTTGTGGGATTTGATAAGGTGCTCAATTGTGGCGACAATGAATCTCTTAACTTTCTTCTCCTTCATAGAAACTATATTCATTGAGGGATGTACAGATCGTCCTAATTTTATCACACTTAAGTGTATTGCATCGTGGCTTGAAATTAGAGTTTTATATTGTCAGTAGAGGCTAGGGGAAGACATCGCATGATCGCCTAATTTACATGCAAGCAGAATGACAGTCAGTAGTTCCGTATTCAACAGCTACTAAAGTTGAGGTATTTGCCGGGCCTGAATGCTATTGCAACCTCTTGACAAAGGTCGGTGCTGACTCCCCAACTCGCTGCCTATAATGCACCCCATTTTGTCTCCAAAAGAGTTTAGCATTATGAGCCACTCAGAGAACTGCTAAGAAAAGGAGACCATTCACAGGGACCGAAAATCACACCACCCAAAAACTATGGGAAGAAGTGGTTGAACTCATGCTGAAATTATCATCCCCTTCCTTCAAGTCGTTGGTTTAAATGTGCATTCGTGAAAGAGATGCTTAAATTTCCTCCCATAATGGTAGTCTCTTAGCCCTTCTGTACGTCAGCATTGCATTGCTTTGGATGCCACAACATGCCTAAACGCACATTTTCCTTTTAAATATAAATTTACTCCTAATTAATCGACATTTTTTGAAATTACCAACCTCTGATCCACAACTGTTATCAGTCTCTTGTATCTGCGATCGCACCAAATTTTGTCATAAACTGATTGGTGGAAACAAAAATTACTGCAATCTGGGCAAAAGTTCATGAGACTTTAGGCATCTCCTTTTTTAAGCCTCCATGTGACGCGACATTCCACCAATTTCCTTGCCCTCTGGCACTGGTTGTGGAGGGAGTGGAGGAATTCTGTTTTCGCGGGCACAAAAGCGGTGCAATGCAAGAGCGGGAGAGTTGTAGCACAGGTCAGATACGAGTAGTGGCATTAGGGTTTGCCAATTCCACCCCATTCTAGCATGCGGCAAGTGCCTTACGAGCTGCAGGTCTGCATCTGCACTTGTACAAACCCCCTGTGGCACCAACAATGTTTGCGGTTTGGTCGGTGCCTCTCAGAACAATGCCCGCTGCACCACGTCATTCAAAAATTTTAACTCACACATTCTGTCTGCTTTCCGGGGATCCGAGTGAGCACTCGCAGCCTTAAAATGACTTCGTGAGACAAATAAGTCAGTTACAGTCATGTTTGTGGCTGTAAATGGTCGCTTCCATCACCATACCTGCCTCAGAAGCAGCAGTCCAAGCACAAGAAAGGCAAAACTATTCGATTTATTGAGAATGGGATTTAAAACTCTTTCTGTAGATATGATTTTTGAAGTTGCAGTTTTTGTGATTGACGTTTCCTATGAAAGTGAAGGTTACATTAGTCTATACGGGTACTTAAGCGTCGATCTTCGTTCTCCCCTTGGACGAGACAAAACCTGGGCCCTTATAGCAATACCAGTGGCTCTGAAATCTTCAGCACTTCAGCCATGCCATTCCGACTAGCTTTAAGCCATAGAAGCACATAAATTCCTCCACCTTAAAGGCTACGAAGTGGTTACGTGTGTCTTGGAGACTACCCTTCGGAAGCGACAGGTCAGCAACCACCATTCTTGCATCTGAGATACTGACGCTCTCTCCCCGAGACGGTAACCAACAATTTTTCACTCAAAGGAGGCCTTCTGCATTTACAATGCTCATTCTAAAGAAGTGCAGGCGTTAGAATCGCGGGCGTTGGTTGCTAGCACCGTCAGTGGTGAAGTTAAGTCAAATCTGGCACCACAAACATCATTTTCCTATGGTAGTGGCCGTACGCTTTAAAAATTGGTGATAATTTGGGATGCTAACACGCCACTGCCACCAAATGATGGAATCTGTTGGTGCAATTGCATTGCAAGGGCTGTATAGAAGCCATTCTTATGGAGTGATCTTCAGTAAAGTAGTTGACTACCGAAATTTTCCATCGAGATGAGAATGCCCTTGCCATGAAACACATCGTCTGCAATTGACAACGCCGATGCGTGTGTGTAGGAGTAATAGCATAGTCATGAACAAAGTGTCTTGACAGTGGTTGTAAGTCTGAGTTTCGACGACGGTCACGTGGACGTCCATCAGTAACGACTGCATCCAGATCAAGCAGTAGAAGCAACTGATAGACAGAACGCATTTCCAACTCCAAAATCTGATCATCTTCGTAATATGCTATTACGCCACTAAAAGTACCCTTTTGCAAATTTCCTGATTCTACTACAACTATTAATAGTTTCCAAATCGGTTGTCTCGGGGAAATAGAGGCTGTCTAGAGAAGTTTTAGCTCTATTTCGAAAGGTTTTCCTGTCAGAGACTTTTCATTTGTCAGTAAATGCTTTAAGGAAGGCGCAAAGACTATGAGGTGCGTAATCTTAATTTGCAATCTCTAAAAGCTACACTATTCTTAAGGTGTTTTGTTGCAAAACACTTATTTTACCACCATACAAACTCCTCTTTAAGTACCAATTAAAAGCACATGCTTTGATAACACGGTGTGGATACAATCTTACTTTTAAGTTAATTGAGAATTAGAAGTTTCAATAAATACAATTATTAAATGACCATGCAGATGAAGCCACTCACACATGAATGGTATACTTACATATCAAACAAATTAGAGAGACTGCTAGGGCTAAAATCTAACAGCCGATTTAAAGGATGGCATACAGGAGGCAAGTGGGAGCATGGGGTGGGAAGAAGGTAAAGGATGCAATTAGTTCTGATCAGCACTGTATTCAAAAAGCAGGTGGCCCGCGAACGTAGAATACATGTAGCCATGGAGGTAGAAAGCGGACTCTCGGAGTCGCAGCCATACACAGTCGTTCCTTTTCATCAGTAAAATCGCTTGATTTGTGGCCGTGGACCATGGAGCACTGTCGCTCCAAACGTCGAAAATGTGGTTGTTGTTATGCATCAGTCTTACGGCCGCCTAGACAAATTAATACTTTACTTAATTACAATAAGTAATTATTAATTTTAGAGGTAGAATTTACTTTGTCAAGCATGCAGAGCATGCTTTATTTTCCAGCATGATTTATTTGTTCGTTTAATGGCAAAGAAACAGACTTTCATGTTTGTAAATCAAGATCTCTAAAACATACAAAATCTCCTGTAAAGCGGATAATTGCGCTTTTTTGACTCTACTGGAGAAAAGGAAAACTAATTGTCAATGGGAAAGGCGTGTTGTACTCTTCAGCTAAGTATAATTGCTATAATTTTTGCTTTATTTGTCACAGGTTTGACAATTATTTTACAGCTTCGACTTAATATGGGGGTCAACATTGGCTAATCAGTGGACAATAGAAATTTAGTTGGTGAAAAGTACTCATCAAGACAGCCCAAAATCTGATCTCATGGCAAAAAGGGCTAAATATTTCACTGATTTTAAGGTTTCACGATGTTTTTGACATAAATGCATGAAAAGGCTGCCAAAGGTACTTCATAAAAGTGTGAAATCGCCAAAGAAAGCATTTTATCGAAGAAAATTTGTTATACAAGAATCCTAACTAAATAATTTCTATGCTAGTTATACAATTCTTTAACAAATCAGGGGATAAATTATTATCTCTGCTCAATTTTGTGATTGAACTACGATAGCTTAGTGTCGTGGATGATTTGACACAAAACAAAAACAATTTCACCACGCCTACACTGTGTCAAATTTGTCACCACTTTTTTTGGTCAAAATTTTGCCTACATTAAACTGGTAGCAATGCTTGTTACTCAGGTAGTAATGCAGCCAACCTGCTTCCTGCCCTGGGCAGAGATGGCCACCACGAAGGAGTAGACACCATCAACAGGGGCACAGAATTGGCCATTCTCGGGATCGTAGGCTCCACCCACATTGGTCACCACATGCGACATGATTGCGCGTTGACCCGGTGGCATCTCCTCAATGTTGGGCTGCAGACCCGTGAAGAAGGCGATTCGCGGCTGACCACTTTGAAGGTGGCTCACCACCTCCTTCATTACACTAGGCCGCGTCATCACCCCTGGTTGCAGTGCAAAACGTTTTGTGCATAACAATTAGGATCTTTGTGGGTTTTCTGTGCCTAAACAGACTCCAGAAAAGGGCAAGACGACTTTTGTGCAGTTGTTGGGTCCCATTGTTAAGGTGTTTGGGTCATTTTAGGCGCAATGTTACTGCTGACTGACGTGTGTTTCGAAATCACATCAAACGATTTCAAGGTCCTTTTATTTATCATTGTTGTTTTAGTGTGATAGACGCCACAAATGAAATGCCTGGTTTAATAAAATTCAGGAGTTAAAAGAGTTATCACACGGAGGCATCTTTACAGCCACTGTACAAACTGTGGCGGATTATGCAGCGACATGCACTTACAGAGACCACTTTCAGACAAAATTATGTCCAAATTCATAATGTGTGTGCATAAAATATTTGTTTAGGGACCATTTCATCGTCAAGCTTTGCCCAAATAACTGCGGATCGGCAACTTCACCTTCCAAACGAAAGGGCAGAGAGTGCAAAGCCTTTTAAATTCTTGTTTCTTGGAAAAAAAAACCTCGTTGAATTAAATTTTCACTTCGAACGGATTGCAGACGATTCGTTTGTGAGAACATTTTAGCTCAAATTTATCATCACTTGCAGTGGGGTGTTGTGTTGCGGGTGAGAAAAAGCAAAATTATTTCTGCACCCTAAGACTGCACTCCTCGGATGAAGACTGCAATGCCGTGGTCGCCAACTTTTCTGCCTGCTTGTCGCTGTGCAGTCGCAGGCAAGATTAACTGCCACGTTGCGTGAGAATGCATGTGAAGAGTGTGAATGTGTGTGTGCGTGTGTGTGTGTGTGTGCATGTTGATGCGAATGAGAAGATTACAAATGGCCTTGTGGGGATCAGTGAAGCTGTGTCAACACAATCATGTGGCGGTAAAGCCACCATTGGGCAGTTTTGACGCATAGACCACACTTTTTTTTTCTCCCGTTCCCTTTCGCTCTTTTGCTCTCCAAATCTCCCTCCTTTTTCTGGGGCCGAACTGGGTGTTGTTAACGCACCGAACATTGTGCTTCGCCCTAGTCACATGAAGTTTTAAGTCTCACCCGAGGGAGCGAGGGAGAGATAAGCGTCCATTTGGCCTGTTCTGCATTATTTGCTTTGATCTCATACCATCATCAGCAGTAGCATTCTGCGATTGGCATGAAACCTGCACCTCAAATGACGGTATAAATGCTTTATTTAATTTTACACCAAAATTAGAGGCTTTCACCTTTCGGTCAATTTTGCTACTCGTTACCTTAGCACGGACACGATCCGTCCATCACTTTTAGTTAGCCTGTAGCCTTAAATAATGCATTTTAGTTAATCAAAACCTCCTAATGAGGAGTTTTAAGAATTCGCATCTCCTGCACAATAATTTTCTCCTCAATTTCGAGGTATGAAAGCAAGCTTAAGCGGGTTCTTCTTGCTTCACAAGCGAGCATTTGTTCTAAGTCAGTGTCAAAGCCACGCTGTCGCGTTTTTTCGTTGCAAGACCAGGCAAAGGATCTCGGGTCGGCGGGTATCGTGGCCTATAATTTATTGTCGCAAGTCTTCCACCTAGATAATATCATCTCTTTTACCGCCTTCAACAGGAGTGTACAATGCAAGAAAGTAAAATTTGTGTACAGATTATGAAGTCATCACTGTCATATCTGTCAATCCGATTGTCATGGGTATATACATGAAAGAAGGGTAGAAGAGGGCTCAAGAGGTGTTAAAATGTCAGAATCCATAGCCAGCCAGAGATAAGAAGGAGTGGGAACCGGAATTCAAACAAGCAAGGCTTAGAACCAGAGTTTCGCTCCGAATCCCTTCGTCTGGTGTTGTCTTGCAAATTTCTCTGCCAAGCCGAAAAAGCCTCTGCTGAGCGAAACTGCGCAGAATAGGCGGCAATCACGGGCCGAAAGACGGTCTCATCCACTAGGCGCTGCTGAAATGCTCGCCAAATCTCATCCGCGGTGGTGCCTTCAATAGCGTCCCAATCAATGACGATGCCCACTGAGGTGGAGATCAATTCGGGAAGCATGGATTCGAGGGAAAAGCAGTACTGGGCACCACTCGAGTTCGGTCGCACCATTTCGATGGAGCAAGTGCCAGCAAAATCCTCAAGACTCGCTAGACGGTCGCTGAAGCCATGCGCACCCACTCGCAGCTCCAGAATGTGGATGTCCTCATAGTCCCTCTGCTCCTCCAATCTCCAAACTATGAAATGGCGTTCAGGAGGTGTGTAGCTAGGCAGTCGCTGGCTGGTCACACGTCTTTTTACGCGACCGTCTGAAGCGAAAGACGGAAGACGTGTCAATTCCAGTCACTAGGACGGAGGAGACGGTAGAAGGGAGAAAATGGGGATGTGGACGAGTATGGGGCGTAAGTATGAAGAGAGGAGAGGGAGTGGAGTGCCTTTAGCAGAAAAGATACATTGTAAAGCTCACGAACCCGCCGACAGTCTACTTGTTTAAAATTGTAGCTAAATAAGCCGTCCCTTCAAACCATATTTGAGGGAATGGTTTTTCGATTCTGCATCAGCAGCAAAAGGATCGAGGCACGATGAAACAGTACGTGAGTGCATAACATTCACATAAAATCTTTACGCCAGTATCTACTCACACGAACTGAAAATTAATTAATTTAAATGTGCACTTTTTGACAAAGTTGCGTCAAATGCATTAATGGGACCTGGCCACATTCAAACAGACGTAGTTAGCTTTAAGCATTTTACGCATAATCAACTTCTGCAGTGTTATGGCATAAAACAAACTAGAGGTCTAAAACCAATAAAGTCGTTTTTTTTCCAATCCTACTTATTAATAATACTTTTAGTAATCGATGAACGGGAGGAAATGGCATAACCTCCAAATGGCAAATGTGAAAAGACAAAAATAACTTTGTCGTGTAGAATGTGAGAGACGCTCTCAGACACCTTCCCTTCTCTCCGTGACAGCCGGTCGGTTACGAATTTAGCAAGCATCGCGTGATATAGTGCATAAACCGACCATTTGATGGATATGCCTCTCTCTACCAAAGAGGTGTCTTAAACCCTTGTGAATTTCGTCCCAGTTCAAAGTGTGTCAGCCATTAAAAAGAGTGTTTCACCTTAAGGCAGTAAAAAAGTGGTTGTTTTACTACATATGTTTGAAAAGTCAATGTATTGTGAGGGCGGTATAAAACTGAATCCGACCGAAAGAAGTTCCGCTACATCCGAACGAATCTTGCCTAACTTAAAAGTCAATCTCTCTAACCGAAAAAGAAAAATGGGTTGAATGAAGAAATACAGTCCAAAAAATACAACCAAATTTACCAAAGTTCGCAAAACCAGTGACAAAAACCATTTGTTTGGACATCATTAAACAGAAATTGCAGCCAAGCCCTAATTAACAAGTATAAGAATTTCGATTATTCGCATAACCCTAAATCAAACAGGACAAACGCAAATTAGGCTTACAGCTGAAGAAATTCCAGATTGAATGTGCTCATTCAAAATGGCGATTTAAATTCTTTTGTTACTCAATGAGAATTTAGATTCGTTGACATTTAAATCCTGATTAGCACATTTTCATAACATATGAACGGCACTCATTTGTGCAATAAACGCCTAAGAAGACCTTCTAACCTTACCAAAATCTTTTAGTTGACCAATTCCTAAAAATCACAAATTCACCTATTTGGAGTATTTTATTGCTAATTTTGGAGAATTCATGAAAAGCGCATGAGTACAGAACTCATACGGAGCGCCGTAACTTTGATGCAAGAGTGACCTTTGTGTTTTTATAGGCCGTCAATTAAAACAAATTTGAACTTTGGGATTTGTGGCAAAGGCTCTAAAATATGCTTTTATTGCAATTCGAGTAGATCTTCCATAGAAGTCTATATACAAATAAGTTGGTCTTTGAAAACAAATTGATTTGTACAAATGCGGGACCAAGTGGTTAAGCAAAGTCCTTACTAGATAGTTTTACAAGCCAACAGAACATTGCATGCAACAAGCATGTTTGTTTGCCATATTCTTAGCAAGTGTTTAAAACTTATGTTTTCCTGTACATAACAGGATTGTTGTGCATACGCAAATAAATGCATACGTTGCAAACCATCCCGGCAACTCATTTCAAAAAATGGTGGGACCTTACTGTCTAGTAATCATCTGCTTGGAGGCAGCTTTTGCTCCCCTGTAACAATGAATGCTTACTTACATTTCATTCATGTATAGCATTGTAACTATTTATTCGTGATGCTTATGCCCGCCTTTATAGTTGCACCTGTTGCAAGAAAAATCAGCCTAAAAGTTTAAAATTTACTGATGTCTGCCTTTGTGCACCTAACCCATTATTTCAACCCAGTCTTTCCTAATTTCAAACGGTGGACAAAGTACCATTATTGGGCTTCATAAGTGCTTGAAGGCATTCAGCCCGCATCTCTTCTACAATTTATGCATAAAAGTAGTCGCTATAAAGTATTACTCTAATTTTTCAATATTCGTCATTGTTTTAATAGCTGGTCTCGAAAACGACGGTAATATGCGGCATCACATTAATAATATTCTGGAGTTAAATCAGGAAATAAGAAATGGCGAGACCTCCTTTTTTTCCACATAATTTTCTTCATAATTCCGTATTAATCATAACCCATTGTCTGAGGGCATATTGGCGCTTCCTCTAATTCATACTCATTGCTCTTGTATTCAGGCATCCATAATTGTTTCCTTTGTTTATTTAGATGAAAATGGCTGCTTTCTGCCCCTCTCGCTCTCTCAATGATATTCAAAAAGATGCCAATTACTGTCGATGCTTAGCAAAACTTGTTCTCTTGATTCCCTCCGAAATGATTAGGTGGATGAAGGGGGTTGAGCCGTTTTTTAAGAGAGTCATTCATTCCATTCGCATAAAGTGACTTCGAAAGAGAAATCGAAGTGGATAAATACCGTGTTTTGGTAGAGGTTTAGGCGCATTCAACGCTCAATGGATAGACGACTTTTGGACCGATAAAAATGATTTAACGTATCAGATAGCAGTCTAGTCTTTGTATACGATTGTGTGATCTGGCAATAGTTGCATCCAATCAAAAAGCCACTTCCATCACCACCCTTTTGGCACCTAGAGCCCAAGTCACGTAGTTCCCATTCACCTGGGTACTACGCCGCGAGTTTTGTGTGGTATGTAAATATCAGTGGTGATAATATCGCGCTCCCTTTCTAGCGCCTTTCAGCTTGCTCAATGGCTTTCATTGGGATCACTTTTCCCCGACCTTTAAAAATGTTGAGCACGATTTCGGCTAGGCCGTAGAGGTGGTTTGTTGTCGCTCTGAATGGTCTATGCACTCCGACTTGCTAAAGAGTGAGGAGCTGGAATTCCAGTGCTTCTGTGGCCGCAGTACTCATTTTGCATAGAATAATTCAGGTGCACAAGTAATATTTATGGCAGTGAATCGGACATCCCATCAACTCCAAGCGGTGTTACATTTAAAGCACCAGTTTTGGTTCTTAAGAACACCGTCAATTCAAGTTGGAAGGGGCTGTGTGGCTCTCACCAACCGATCACTTACAAACGTGACCATATTTAAATGCATTATTTGTCACAAAAAATCTGTTTTCCTGTGCCTGGTTTAATGAACAGTTTAAAAGGGGTAACGGTGCTCGCGTTTATTTAAAAGCTTGATTTATGCAATGCATGTAACAAGTAGAGAATTGGTAGCATACGTCGAGTAATGCTTTACTAACATGTTGAAGCCAAAATGTAAAAAATGCATGAGGCTTCAACCACGGCGTCTTTTAGTTTTGTTTCACTTTTTATATTATTTTGTCGTATGTTAGATCCCTTTAAGTACGTCTCATTTGTGCTATTGCAATAACAATGAATCCTGGCTTATTTTACAGTAATTTATGAAACTATATATTCAAAACCACTCACTCGTGACAATATCTTCATTGATTTCAGGACTGAATCCAGGAGGTCCTCTTGGTCCAGCTGGTCCACGAAGACCTCTGGGACCTTGCGGACCTCTGGCGGCTCGAACGGGGATGCGGATCTTTCTAACCATTCCTAGCGACTCGCTCTCATTCGCCGCCAAATGTGAGGTCTGTGGAGCGGTGCATTCTACTTGCAAATGGCATTCAGTCAAGGCAGTCTGTGATGTCCTGCCTCGTGATTTAGCCGACGAGGTAGATGCAGTATCGTAGTCAAATTTGGAGGTATGAATGAGGGGAATTTGCGTGATAGATGCAGCAACAATGAGATGGAGTTGGATCAAGTACCACTTCATGCTTCTTTCTCTACGCGAACACTTTTGTGCCCGTATGAGAGAGGGATAAGTGAGCAGCACTCCAAGTGGTTTTTCTCCCTCACTCATTGGCTGTCTCGCGCTTGTCCTTGCATCTGATTGGTCAAATTCGCTCTAAATTTCCAGCTACCTCTGGGATGTTGAGATGAAAAGCACTTTAAGATTTTAGTGTATCTGGGGTTCGCAAAGGGTACTCTTACCAGAAATCCAGTTCCTAATGCCCGTCATTGGAAATTCATAGGCATTACTTGTTTAGATTGAATTTCGTTCTCAAATAAGTATGCAAACACTGATTCGAGTGTCATGTTTATTACGCCTTATAAAACAACCGTCAGTAATGTCAATTCTGACTTATTTGTTAACCCAGAATGACGTACACTTACTTTTTTTGCTTTTATATTACCACCCGATTGTTTAATCTGTATTCATTCTCTGATGCCGAAATGCAGCCTTTCAAAGTTCTCCTGGATCGGCCGTCGTGGTTCATTATGTCATTCACATACAAAACCTATTAACGGCCATTGGTGTTTCTGAAAGTCGGTCTCTCATCTAAATCCTCCTTCCCCTCTGATTGACCTTTGTACCGCATATTGAATGGCAAGTTGATAGTTAGAATCTTGCGAGACACATATGAAACAATGACTTAGTAGTCCTAGAAGGTCGTTATTCCCCAACTTGTGATGACAAATTTGTGTATTTTTGAAGTAAACACGAAAACCCTTATCACTTTTAGTTATCGTGAGAATAATTATTCGTCTTCCTTCAAGTATGTATGCTTGCGTATTTTTTTCCCCATTTGATGAGTTGGGTAGCTGAGTCTTAAACGAGCATCATTAGGTCGCGTTTGACAGTTACAGTACTCCGAGTAATGGTTTTGGCTCGGTGTTGACACATTAAAACTTTGGCTATCTAACTGCCTGAAAAAAAATTTGGTGTCTATATATTTCCCTCCAATTTAATGGGAGAACTTATAGGCGACAGTAAATGACTTAGGAGATGTGTGGAAATCAAATCCCAACTGGAGCCACCTGATTGGTGACACCTCAGATGGAAGGTCATGTGATCCTTCACCTGTCACTTAAGATCAGTTACGGACCACCGATTCTGCATTGCTAAGTAGTTCTCATGATACCACAGGGTGAAGTAGTTTTGTGACCACTGACACTAAACTTTACTTAATCCCTCCTCTGAGCGCTCCATTTGTGTGCCTTCCAATGGTGCTCCGTCCTCCGCCCCCTCCATCCCCAGGCAAGTAAGGCCTCAGCCGCCACTTATTCCATCTTCAAGCTATTTCAGCGTGACAAATTTTTCCATGGAACATGAAGAGAAGTAGGACTGAGGAGGGTAGATGTCACTGGCGGGTAGTTGTCCCAATGCCCTTTTAGGGGGGGTATAAAAACACCTTATCCCTGTGGCCATTAACCATATCAGTGCAGTGAATTATTCATTCTGCCCTTACCATGACTTATAAATGGTTTAGAAGGACTGCAAAATCCTGCTAAAGTGGGACTCCCAGTTGGAGTGCTGTGAGGCTCCGACATGAACACCTCCAGACAAGTTGGAGGTGGTGTGCCTACCTCTCACTGGAGGGAAAAAGAGCAAATAATTTTTCTTTCCATTTTGCTCTCTTTCAAAGCCTACTGCGCAGAAAGGGGATAGAGGGTGAAAATTTACATTTGCATCATTACAGTATTGCATTGTCGGATGGGAAAGAATGTGCCAGGCGGATGGCTGCTCGCATTTCGATAGAAAATAAATTGAATGTTGGTAGAGAGACGTTGTTCATGTTTCAGTTCCTCCTTAAGTCTGTGACTCGTGCAAACAAAAAGACATAAAATGAAAATGATGTTTCGCGAGCGAGGCAATCCACTGAGGAGCGAAACAGGGATCGCAAATGTTGACAGGTTACAGTCACAAAAAAAAGAAGAAGTTGCATGGAGAAATTGATGATTTTTAAATTTGACAAGGTTGTTGGTGGAAATTGAGTGATTTGAGGATGGTAAGAGCTGTATTTTGTCCCTTTTTAGGGCCTTCCAAGCTAATTGCTCTTGAAAGAGGCTCTACAAACACCATTGACGGTAGTGGTAAGTAGGTTCATTTCAATTTTTACCACTAAATGCTGAACTTTGACTTGCCGGAGGAAAGAGAGGAGAAGTGAAATTGGCGCCAGTCTTAGGCAGCCACAACGCTTTGGTGTTCTGTATGAATGTTCTCAGCAATTGTAGTCACAATGTTTGCATGTCTTTCTGTGTCTGCGAAATGGACACTCACCGGAACCCAGGGGGAGAGAGGGAGAGAGAGAGTCGACGCTGACACATGCACAGACCAAAACTGTTTCTCCCTCTTTGTTACTCGACATTCATCTTGTGTTGGGGCTCTCATACCTAATCCCAGACTGGGAGTGAGCATCGGAGTTGGATGTGACTTTGGTAAACGCGGCTGTTGGTTGGCTGGAGGCTCACCCTGCATCGGTCCTGTAGCAGCAGTAGTGACCAGTGCAGGTGTTTCACCAAAGGAAGCACCAACGGAAGACATTTAAGAGGAAAAATGAACGATTTACAATTTTGATTAATTATTTTAATGTTTTATTTGGTTTCTGGCAGCCTTCGGTCACCGCCCTTACACCCTTAAACTCTACCAGACCTTGGTAATACGCATTCTCTCCCAATATGGTGACCAACTTCCGAGGCTGACAAAACAGTAAAAATTCTAAGCGAATTAAGTAGTATGCTCGTATTCTTTAAATGCATCTTGTAATTGAGATTGCTGGAGCCTCATTACCAGCATCCCAATTAAATCCTTTTTATTTTTTGCCTCTTATCTATTCATTTTAGAGATCGAAACGTGTAAAAAATATTATACCTTGATTACTAATTTGTGCATTTATTAGTAGTATGTGGTTTTATTAATGAGTGTGAATATTAATGCAAAGCAAGTGATGGAAAGGTGTGCATTTATTAAATATTAAACTCGCTTCCACTTGAAACCCTCAAATCCATCATCGTTAGAGGAAAGTGGACCAATTTAAATCACCTTTCCCCATTTGCAGGTCCTCTAGAAGGGGTCTCATGTGAACCCCCCCCCCCCTCTTAAGTATTTTCGCTCCCCAGGCGAGGCTCAACTGCAAGGACGATTCGCCAATAAAGAGCAATTGAAACATTTGAGCAGCAGCCTTCGCTAGTCAACATCCTCTCTCGCTGTCTAACAGCCCTCCTAATTTGTTTACGTCTTTCACTGATTCACCTGTCAAGTCATTTTAGCTTTACAAGAAACTGCGACTTTAAAAAGTCTAGGGTCAATTTTACTATTTAAAAATTCTAATTGAAATGCTTGCCAATCATTGGAAAATGATGACTTCTTCGGGCTTAGTGAATTTATTTATTAAAAGGCCTTCACTTTGTTCACTTACACGATTATTCGCAGGTCATGTAGGTGAAGCTCTTTTCTTTTAAAAGGCAAAAATTTGGTTCCAGTCCCCAAACTCCACCCTTGCTGTGGCATTGGTGGCACTGACAACTTGAGAATGCAGAGCAGTCATTTCAAGCTCGCTATTATGCTACAAACTTACCGTGAAACTGTTTAAAATCAGGAAAATAATAAGACCTTCACTACAACAGTAAAATAGCTTTGCTTTGTGGAGAGGAATGCCGTCTTTGTAATTAACTAATCACCTTCAGCTATCACCGACCTCTGAAGGTAGGCGAGGAAGGGGAACAGAACGAGAGCGGACACAATCGTGCTCTCTTTCTCCCTTTTTCTCTCCCTATTTTTGATATCTTGCATACGAAAGCTTAAAATAATTCGGTTTTATAATGTTTTCCCACTGATGCCTTAAAAGTGTGGTAGCGCGATGATGACGATGATGGTGACTCGACATTTCTTTGTTCTTTTTGAAGTCGATCGCCTTGTTTTGTGGACTGGCGAGTAAAAAAATTTTTGTCATTTCGATTGCCAAAGACTGGAAGAGCATCCGCCAGCCTGCATTCCGCATCAGTGAACTTGTCAAATAAACCAAATCAACCGCTGCATCTGCTGCTCACGAATCCAAAAGTGATATTTTTTTCTAAGGAGGAGTATTCCGCAACCAGTTCATGGCATTACTGCTATCGGTTTTGACTATACCACATTTTCGTACGACTGAAATGTGTTTGTGGGGCGTTTGTAGTGATGAGAGTTGGTGTGTTGAAATTTGTGGTAGTTACGCAATTCATTGCTCATGCAATTAATTTCTTCGAAAGCGTAAAAACCGAGATTAATAAATAAAGTCATCTGATGCATCACTACTCGTATGCGGTTCTCAATATTTAATTTTGTCTCCTTGGTGCTGAGAAGGAATCAAAAACTCGTGGGAGGGACAAACAAGTCAGAAGACAGGAATGAGTAGGTTGACATGTCGACAGGTCTCTAGAAACGCCTCATTCCCACTATCCTCGCGCCTGGAACAGATTCCTTCAGCGTGACTCTGTTATCCCGCGCACCAGAGGTGTCCAGAATTCGGCTACCACAGTGAGAGCATTTCAGTAAATCGCACACGCAAAATGCAAATTAATCAAATTAGGGACAACGAGAGTGAGAGAGAGAGAGAGGGCGAGAGAGCGAGAGAGTGAGAGAGAGAGTTAGAGTACGGCGGTAAGTGAATGAGAGCTCTAACAGTCATTTGCCATGTAAATTAAAGTAACCCGAAGAACCCAAGTTCTCCTTTACACCTAACTGTGAGTTCCACTGGGAAAAAATGCTATCAGAATAATTATCCCTGTTATAATTATCTTCATTGGTTGAATTTTAAAGCAAATCAATGTTGGTTTACTTTATGGAAATTTGATGTGCAGTAATCTTCAGATTTAAAATGTCACTAAAAACATCACAACTGGTTGAAATGCTGAGATGGATGAGGTTCTGTGTTCTTGTTTTGATTAAGTAGTATATGCACATCAACGCCGATATTAACTAAAAGATTAATCCCATTGGCAACATAGTAGTGGCCATTATCGCTCATACCAAATGGATCCACATAAATTCCCTATTTCCGCTGCATACTGCTCTGGTGTGATTGAGTACTTTCGAAGTACTTTCTAAATACTATTCCAGATAAACCTTCCGCATTTATCAGCTCCTAAAAACCCAGGAACAATAAGAGTTATTCAGTTCTCCTTAAATCTGACTTTAAAGATAAGCATGAAAGCTGAGCTTTCACTTTGATTAGAATGTTTCAAGTCTTTAACGTTCTTCAGCATTAATCTTAATTTGTTATTTGAATGAACCGGAGTTGATGTTTGACCTAGGAAAGATGGACACGGAGGGCATTTAAAGGCACTGCAGAGGCTGTTTACAGCTCTATGATTTCGACAATTTCTTTTCACACCCAAATTTCACTTAATTGCGTCATGCAATCCGCCACTCCTTCAAAATACATAAATCATAACTGAATCGGTATCCAGGTTTTTTCCCAAATAGATCGCATGTCGAGGAGCATAAAAAGAGCAAGTTGTTTCCTTCCAAGCAAAGAAAAAAATTCAATTACACAACGAAGCAATTGCAAGCCAAAGATCCTTTTTTCATAAGTATGGGACTTTAAGCAATTAAAATAGTGACACTAGGGGTAGTCTGTCCCATCTAGTCTGACATTTGGGAGTTTTTGAATTCTTGGGCCGACTGCGTATTTCCTATCAATTATAAGGTTGCAGTTTTTTTCTACAACGTTAGTCTAACGGTTCAGCTTTTAAAAGGACTTGTAGTTCGTTGTTAACTCGCCAAACTTCATCAATTGTCTGCAGTCTAGACACATTTTGGTGGTGTATCAAGAATGGCCGAAAGTTGCTCAGGGTATAATCACATCCAACAGTTCATTTTATAGAAACGTAAAAAGAATTTAGGCTTATTTAAAGCCAAAATTTTGTTTTTCTTCTTACGCTTGAATTTGCACAATTGATATCTGTGGTAACCGCTTACTTCTTTATTTCTACTTTATATCTGCAGCTAAGATAAACAAATGTCTAATTGCCTTAATTTATTAACTTTGGATAAGGATTTTGTTCTTTTTTATCGAAAATTTAACTCCAATCATTATCCCAAGATTTGGTTTGATTTCATAACTTCTCCGGACTCAAGGTTTTCTTCAAAATAGCTTTATTATAAGGGAACATTTTCTTAAGTGACAGTTTGGAAATGAGAAGAGAGGAAATGGGGTGGAGAATTGGCGGAAGGGATTGGAGGAGAACAATCACACACGCTGGACTTGCGGTTTTTTTGCTCGAATACTCTTGGGCATATAATTGATTGACGATCAAATGTGGAGTCCATAAAAAAAATGAGCTCATGCTCTCCCAGCACAGGCAAGATCACTGCCTCGAAACGCTGATCACAATGATTGACATATTTTACTTGCGTGATCCCAAGCAGAAAGGGAAAAGAAGATAAGGCAAGAAGTCCAAAGACTTTGTTGTCCATCACATCGGCTCAACTGAGAACTGCGAGCATATAACATGGTCTATTATTTCCCGTAAAATATACGTTTGTGAAGGAAAAGACGGAGATTAATTGAATCGTAAATGCATTTTCCCAAAAATAACATTGAAAAACGTCTACAGCCTTACAAGCACCTTTAATTTCTTTTAAAGAACGCCTAGGTGGCGGAACTTTACCGAGCGAAACAGCCTCTTCCATTGCTGATTCTTAATATTTTGCTGGATGTGCACCACTCTGATCCCAATACATCCAGTCTGGTGCCTTAATCAGGCAGACTTTTACAACTTTATGCAAAAGTTACTCACTTATGCATGACGAAAAATGATAGAGTCCAGATTTCTCAACGTCTTCTACCTTTCTCAAATCCAAAAGGAGTTTGACGTTGGAATTGTTGAGTTTTCCTAGAGACGCTCTTCTAATTCTGAGCCCTATGTAAATCCCCCAATTTTGAGTCCTCTTTAAAGGTGTCTTGGTCAATTGTAGACAAGTTAGAATTTGGGACTTTTGCAGTAGCTTTTGGATATGTCAATAAGTGGCGGAGGAGGCGATACTGATAGGTCTGATGCATTTCTAGTGACTTTACCGGAGATGAGTTGGTGCAGACCAGTTGGAAGACGTTATTTCTATTTCGCATTTCAGGTGCGGTGCTGACTTTATTCCTTGCGTTTGTGTTGCATCCACTTGAACACTCCACGAAATTGAGTTTACTCAAAGAGGCTGTATGCGATTTCGAACATCTGACAAAGTTGCCTAAATTTCGACAAAAATAGATCATCAATTGGTGTTTTGATGGTCAGTCAAGTTGAATTATCCCACTCAACAATTACACAGTAAACCACTTTATTGTAAAGTGCTACAAGTGTTAGGAGGGCAGTTCCTCTCGTGCGTTCGTCATAAGTGAAGATATTTGGCGACTACTTTGGGCGAAGTTTATCCAAATCGCATTTAAATTTGCGAGAGAGAGACTCGATTAGTCACGCATTGCGGCGAATCGTCTCTGTCACATTCATGATTGATGCACATGACCTTGGCCTCTACCCAAATGATTGACATGCACCAAGCAAATATGTGAAGGATGTGGTTAGCCCTTCTCACTCACGTGGAGATGTTGACATGCAGCAATTGTGAAAAAGATGACAACGTCAACAATAGAATGTAAAGCGTACCTGCTTTAGGACGCTCGAGTAATGTGCCGAAAGGGGGGAAAAAATATCTTAAGACTGGGTGGACGATTAACACGGCACTGTATTTTAAAATCCAGTGCTCAAAAAATACAGAAAATTAATGCAGATTGAGTAAGATGTGTATTTGGAAAAGGCGAATCGCGGTTTTCTCCGATGATAATGATGATCACCAAATCAACCCAAATCAGAAAGGAGTTCTGAAACTTTTGGGAATAGGTGGGTGTGAAAACTTAGTTAATCTGGCGGATAATTCAGTACAGAAGGTTTATGGGCTTTTGGTTTGCAGTTGTAGTTTTTTTAAGCACTCTTTGAGCCTCCATATAAGGAGGCGTGGCTTTATCCTGATGAAAACGATTCCAGATTGTCTACTTCATGAACTATTCTTAACTTGAAGCATGTGTATAGACAGTGGAGGAGGTGGTGTTTGACCTACCGCTTCGAATCTAATGGTCTAAACAATACGATGTTGGTGGTGATTCACTCTTCTCTTAGTTAGAATGGAGGATTATGTTGTTCTATTGTGTTTTTATCAAAGTTCAGGCCTATGATGTGGAAGAGTTGGTGCAATAAGTGCTCTACAACTAAGCAATGCAAGAAGAAATAGTTGCGCTACCCAATAGGGAAACTCATTTCTCCACAGATTCACTGTTCGAAAACAAGAAGCTTCAAAGTAGGCGTTAATCAAACTTGCTTAGCTTTGGTTGACCGAGTACGATATAATGAACAACAACATTTGTCGTTTGCATGACTCATAAGGCACTCATACACAAGCCATATTTTTCTTCCCTATATGCATGAGGAAAATGATGAAATGGCTCATAATCTTGAAGGAATTTTAAACAATTATAAAGTAATGATCATTACTCGAAAAGTAAATAGAATGCCTTATGTTCGTTTGTGAAGAGGAAGACACTTTGGAATGAAGAACGAGTTAAGACTGCCTCGTCAAGATGGAATCAAATTAAAATACGGATTAGAGATGGAGTGGTAAGGAACAGTCATTTTGCTTTTAGCGGCAAAATGAAGCACAAAAGTGCCCTGCTCAATGTGAACACCACAAAGACTAGGAGCGAATATTTTAGTAAGAGAACTTTTCAGTATTTGCTATCAAAAAAGTTTTTTATCTCCTGATCCCACTACTAAATAAGAATCTGGTAATTCAACTCAAATCCTGTTAAATACTTGCGGTGGATTGTTTAATTAAGTGACACTTTCCAAGGACAGCGTCCTAATTCCATTCATATGATTAAACGTCAAAAGTTAAACATCCTATTTTTGTTAAGTTCAAGTGAGATCTCCTACTTCGTACTGCCCTTCAAGAATGTATCCGAAATGAATGCTTATGAGGTAAGAAAGAAAAGAAAACACGACAGATCAATTTATTGGTAATAGGAAAATGCTCTATAACGAGTTAGCTCTTATAATCTCACACAGCTATGGGATGGGCGACGTAGAATGATTCCTTTAATCAAGTAAAGTTAAGCACTTCGCACCAACCGCGATTAATTATCGGCTTCTGGTCCCTCCTAATTTACTAAGAGCTTTCTCGGTATTTTACCAATGTACAGAGTCGTTATTAGGCATGTGGTCATTGTGATTGCCGGCAGAGCATAAGTAAACACAAATGCGGGCTTCTTATACGAAAGATATGAGCTTGAAGGGAGGAAGTAATTCGCATGTAAATAGGGTTATAAACACCTACTTAAGGTAGCTCAAAAATAGAACTTTCGTTGCCTATAATTAATCATGTGAGTGTCAGGAGTTGCGCCCTGGTTGTCACCTTTAATTGGAAGTGAAATTGCCCTTCCTGGCAAAACTTAGGATTGAACTTTCAAAGGATTCACTCTTCTCCTCTTATACACCCAAGAGAGACGCCACATGTGAGTGTCAATATTTTCATTGTTGACTAGGTCTTTCATAGTACATCGGGTCTTCTTACCAAACAGAAAACGGTAGAGTTCTAGAAAAAGAAGGGATTTGACTTTGGCTTAAACCGAAGACCAGCCCACGTACACAAGAGCAAGATGAATAACAAAATAACCGATGCAACTGATCGCATAAACAAAGTATTTCATCTGCAAAACTCACAGAGCTGTTCATGTAAAAATTTTGTAGCCTTTTATTCGCTTCTTTTTTTCTACTTGCCAATCGTAACATTGCACGAATTACTTCCGTCCCTCCAAGTCGGACCACAAAATGGTTGGGTTCCCCATACTATGTGATTATTAGAAAATAATGAAAGTACTCGACTCAACCGTAGCTATCTATCTACACCATACAGCCCACCAGTCTCCTCGAGGTCTTCGAGACGAAGAAATGAACTCTAAACGCGATATTTCTGCCTACGTTTTGTTCCCTATGACTTATTCATGAGGCTCCGAAAGTGGCTGCTACCTCTAGTGACAGGAGAAAATAAACAGACACCTGAAACAGATAGGGATAAAATTTTGTCAGTGATTCAAAATAAATTTGCAGATGGTGTTTGAATGGCGCTAAGTCCGTTAGGGCAATAACCATAACATCACACATTGCTCTGCAAAACTCGCCTTTGCGTGACAAAAAAGAGGGACAGGAAAGCAACCTTCCCTTTCCTGATGCGAGTAGCGCTGGGGTGCGGATATCACCTCAAGAGCTGGTGGAGGACAATTTTTTACCAGTACTTGTCCCCTCTACCCTTACTGCCTTCCCTGCCAGAGAGAAGGGAATTTTGGGACTCTGAGTAGGAGAAAAAGTTGATGGATAGGTACAATCAAGCATAGATTAAAAGGCCTCGACCCACCGCAACGTCGAAAGCGGTTGCCAACGCATACTTAATCGAGTCGGATCAACTTAAGTGATTTTGAGTAGTCCTTGTTTGTTGCCAGAAAACGAGAGAGTTTGACGATGGCCTGCTCTACCCAACGCCAATAGCCTGAAATCAATCTATGGTCAGGACTGAATAAAAAACATCACACACTTCCAGTGTCAGAGTCCCATGGAATGAAATCTAAATATTGCATTCCGAGCAACGCCTTTAGTATCTCCCTCATCCAGCATTCCAGATTAAAAATAACAAGGCCTAGACCTTGCTACAATATTCCTGCTGCTCCCTTACGGAATAGAGATGTTAGCTTGAGAGCACGACGTTGGCATTGCATCCACATTCCTCTGCTCCAAAAAGGAGTAGATAATACTCATCTTCTGACAACATAAGTACCTTCAAAATCTCCGCCCAGTTTTCCTTAAGCTGCCATCTTCTACGTGCCCTATATTTAGGTGGGCCATCACAATTTAACTCGTTTACTTAAATCCATTCCAGTAGCAACAACAACATTACTCAGAGTCAAGAACGTCATTTCTGTTCCAAATCGTTCAAATCACAAACAACACATGTAAAAAAAATAATGCGGAAAAGACGAACTGCTCTAAGAATCCACCGCCGTGTTACAACCTCTAGCTGGGTGTCCATGCACCCGCGCCATATGCCGCAGCATGTTGCTGCGCACGAAGAAAGCGACTCCACAGACTCGGCATTTGAAACGCCGCCCCGACTCCTCGTGTATGCGTTGGTGGATCCGTAGACTACCACTTTGCGAGAACCGCGCACTACATACCTCGCATACAAATGGTCGCTCGTTTGAATGCACTCGTTCGTGACGCCTCAGATCCGTGGATCGAATGAACACCTTAGCGCAGACAGAGCAGGAGTGAGGGCTGCGGCTAGCCCCGCCAGGACCCCTCGAGGCATTTTCCTTTTCCAATTGGTGTAGAGTTCGTGGAAACGTAGCCTGTGTGGGACAGTTGTGATTTGCAAACGCTTTGTTGGTTGTGAAGTTCTCTAGACAGTGTTTGCACTGCCAGAGACTAATATAGCTCGAGGAAGTTGCCGCTTTGTCGTCCAGTTTGACGTATTTTTGGGACGAAGTGGAGGTTCGAGTAGGAGGAGGAGGTGGAGGAGCAGAGTGAATATCGGCAGTAAGAAGCTCCTTAAATCCACTGGACTGCGGTAAATTGATAAGGTAGGGAGTTAGGCCAAAAGATGGCGGCTCTGCCTGTGCAGCATCGAGGTCCGCTGGTGGCTCCATGGAACGTTTCTGACATACATTGAGGTGGCGCTTTCGCTGTATGGGGGTGCGGAAGGAGAGGGAGCAATTGGGACAGGCATAAGTCTTAGTACCAGTATGAATACGCATGTGAGAGTGGAGACTGCCAGTACTGCTGCACACAGCACCACATAAATGGCAGGTGAAAGAGGCAGAAGAAGCAGAGGTGAGAGAGAGAAAACGGCGAGACCGCGGTCGACCAGAAAGGAAGGCGGTGGCCCATGCTGCTCCTTCAGAGCCATGTAAACGAGTCGCGTGGGCCAGCAAACGTCGAGGGAGAATAAACCGGCGATTACAGAACTTACAGCTGTATGGTCGGACCCCTGTGTGCAGAAACATATGCCTATGCAAGTCGGAGCTGCGTTGAAAGCGGAAAGAACAGACTGTGCAGACGTGAGGTCGCTCTTTCGGAGTCGACGAATCATCCACCAGTCTTCCACTCCCCTTTGGATAACTCCTCAAATCTCGTTCGCAGGCAGCCTGAGAAGAGAAAATAACATCAACAAATGAATTGACATGAGTTTAAAAAATTCCTTCGTGTTGCAAGTACGAGCAAAATTACAACGCCTTTTCTGCAATATGCTCATAGTAAAGTAGCAAAACAATGAGAAGTTAGTCACCTCGTACAGCAGCCTCTCTGAGAGACTTGACTCAGCCGTGGGTTGATTCTGTATGACTTTTTGTACTTCTTCCGCGCACAACTCGAAATGCGTTTTCTTTTGTTGCGCGGGTCGTCTGTTACAAGATGGTGGCTGAACAGAATCCACAGTCACCACTTCCTCCACAATCGGTGGATGTTGAAAGATAGTTGCCGTGGTCAACTCGGCCACATGTGCCTCAAGCTGGTGCAACTCCGGGAAGACCAGATTGCAGTGAGTGCAATAGAACCGCGCACAACCGATCATTGCATCGTCTAACAGTGCATCGACCCGATGAAAGGTACTTTGACCGCAGATGCCGCACGAAACAACACCTTCCGTATCCAGCCGACTTGTTCCGCATGTCAAACAGACACTATACCGTGTGGATGTGGCATGCGAAATGACGTGATTTGATAGGGCTACGCCATTATCAAACCGCGCCGTGCATTGGCAGCAACCGAAAAGATCTACGATACCTGTTTGTTGATCTAGGATCTCCTGAGTTAACCGTGATGGTGAAGGAGGCGGTGGCGGTGGCGGTGGCGGTGGTGGTGGTGGTGGCGGAGGAGGAGGAGGAGGAGGAGCATCAGTTGCTATTGTAACTTCGGCGTTGAAGTCTAACGTTGAGTTGGATTCCTGGACGAAGTCGACCATAGGTTGGTAGTCCGTTTCGAAGGTCGACGCATCGACAAAATTGACCTGATCGCTGTAGAATACGCCCTGATTGTAACTGTCTAGACTATCAAGAACCGAACCTTGAGGGAGAAGGAACATGTCTCCTGGCTGGAAACCCTGTCCCAGGACGAATGATTGATCCATTGGAAAAATCTGTGTATCTGCCAACTGTTCTTGACCAGAATCTGGCGGCACAATTATTACGGAGGACTGTGATACATCAGGAATATGGAAGTCTGGCTCAGAGAGCCATACAACCTCCTGACTCAGCTGTTCAGTGAAGGTAGTAGGTTGGATTTGTTGGGCTTCAGTGAGTTGAATTATCTCTACTGGAATGTTAGAATCGCCAATTGGAACGATCGAAGGCTCAGCAAGAAGCACCGGTTTTAGACTTATTCGACGTTGCAGACTAATGGGTAGGTCAAAGCGAAGGATTACTCGCATTTTAAATTTTCGCAAACCGTGCTTCAAGCGCATGTGTCGCCTGCACAGGATAGCACTAACGAAACGACGGTCGCATTTCTCACAAACAAAAGCATCCGCCATGAAGTGTGTTACGAAATGCAACTTGGAGCTGCGCGTGGATGTAAAAATTTTCGAGCACCAAGGACAGCAGGAGTAAGGCTGTGAAGCATTCAGCAACAAGCTAATAGAATTCAGCTTATCAAGATGACGTTTGCGAATAGATCGATGGTCTTGTCTGTGAAGAGAGAGAGCCACACTATTGTAGGAGCTGAAATTACAGAAAGAGCAACGACGGATCGATTTCTCCGAGTAGGGTCTAAGAACCTCCTCAGAATTGGATTCCAAGAGATGGATAAAATTGATATCAGTTCTAGATTTGTCCACAGACTTTCGAAGATACGGACGAACTAATCGCCTTCGGAGTCCCAACGCATATAACTTTGAGAATTTCCGCCTTTTGAGGTGCAAGAGTTCGTGCGAACAATGCATAGAAATGCTAGAAAATGTTAAGAAACAAAAGCGACAGGCACACCGCCTACCGGTATAACTAGTAAACATCGATAAAAAGAGGTAGAATGAAGACAGTATAGAATACGAAAGATACCCATACTTTACGATGAAAGAATGAAACTCTTGACTTTTTTGGGCACTGTTTGTCGCTTTGGCCAGCTTTCTATGATACCTTGAAAGATGAACATCGAGGTTTTGCTTGAACGTAAACTTCTTCTGACAAAACTGACATGAAAGCTGTTTTGCTGCGTTGTGAATAGCCATATGGGTATCAACCGACCCCTTTTGTGTGAATGATTTGGAACAAATGGGACAGGAGAATGGCTTCACTCCTAAATGTGTTAATACATGCGCCTTAGCTATAGTCATTGAGGATAGCTTCTTGCCACAGATTTCACATTGGAAGACCTGTTTCTTTTTTGATACGGAAACTTTCTTCACATGCTGGGAGTAGTCAATGTGCTTGACCTGAGGGGATGGCACAGGCTCTGACGTAGGAGGCGGGCGACGCTTTTTATGTTTTGAGGCTGTTGCTATCTCTTTTATAAATGTCGATGCCTTGACTTTGCAGCTACGTCCACGAGATTGAGAACTGGATGATTCCGAAGGTTCGTGTATCTTAGATGAGGGTAAAGTTTCCGAGTTGTCAGCCTGCCTCTTGGGGTGATTGTGCTTATAATGCATACGGAGTTGAGTCAATGATGAATTATTAATTCCGCAAAGCCGACATCGGTACTGATTTGAGGGCATCGGGATAACCTGTTCGTCGGTGTCCTGAGCAGACGTGGAACAGGAAATTTGTGTTTGACAATGAGGACAAACTTGATCATTTCGAAGTAAATGAAGTGATAGATGGCTTTTAAATGCAGATATTCTTGAGCAAGTTTTGCCACATATTTGACATTTGAGGTCATTAAGGGAATCAAGTGATGTATGTTGCAGTATTCTATGCAAGTAAAATTGGCATTCACAGTTAACGGAATCACTGCATTCAGGACACCGCAGGGTGGCTGCAGTTTCAGATAGGGGAACAGGAGGACCAGGTACTGCCTGCGAAACAACATCGGTGTTGACAACATGGCCGATATCAGTAGACTCCAAATCTGCAAGCCAAGCACCTTTACTGTAGTCATTAGATGGAATCTCCTGAGGAACAGCATTCAAATACACTATTTCCCTCAAAACATGGCAGTTGTTCGAATCTATCATGTGGTATGTCGGACACTCGTCGCCCCCAAGATTTCCCCCGCCATTGCTTATGTATCCTATAGGCTCTTGAAATCCCTCAAAAACGTCAAGAGAATACAGGGCATTATCTTCATGTGCAGTCGTAGAGAGTGGTGCTGACATAGCATTCCCCTGAGTTTCTTTGGTGTTTTCGTTAGAATGACTACGCGTGGAGTCTTCGAACATTTAACGGTTGTGAAACGTCATGGAATATAAAAACACCTGAAACACACGAAAAGTACTGCTTTAATTGGCAGATCCAATAAATTGTATAGTTGTAGCACAACAAAACAATTGTGATATTGCAAACATTGCAAAGTTCAGACATGATTTTGTTGATATTATAATGGTATGCAAAGAAAGGAAGATTTATTTTATTCAAGCGCATGTAGACGAGGACTAAATATTTCATGTTGCTCAAATTGCATCAAAGGATGAAGGGCACCAAATATACGATGCAGTGGCCGGCGTAGCCAACCCCTACGTTGATTTTGCACATATGTTTGATAATCACTGTTGTTAAGGCCAAAGTACGGCCGATGCCTACTTCAGTAAATAAAAGGAAGTTTTTGTAATTTCACAAATTGGGAAACGGTATTCTGACGTTTTCGCAATAAGTTTTGCAAAGTTTACACGACATATACACTTTGACAAATTTACTTGAAGAAAGAGCATATCGATACATATTTCAGTTATTGCCATTACAACAACTAGAATTGTTTTCGTGTTCAATAACCTTATCACCACTATTTTTTAAGTGCACTTATTTTGGTGCTGCCAGCATTGTTTAACTAAATGCGAGTCCGTGTTCTTTCTGAAATGGTCGCTCCGTACAATGAGTTTGGGATTCGACCATGTGTCGTGCTGCTGAATAATGAGTAAGCTCTGGTTTGCCATTTATTTTAAAGCGATGTTTTAAATTATGAAATTCAACAGAAAAAGTGCCAATTCCTTGCTGGAGTCGACCTTCGGTGTGGACAATCAGTTAGCCAAAGTGCTCGCGAAAATTCGCTGAAAGATCTCCGAAATCCTTTTAATAAACCAAAATTCCGTCACACAAAAAAGCGAAAACGTGAGCGGGACATGTTCTACCGCCGTTCCATTCGCTTATCCCGTCAAGGATTTCTCAATCACAATCTTAGCACGCACCACAGCGTTTACTTCAAACTTCGCAGACATTTGATCGAAAATTTTCGTGCAGGTTTGGTAACTAAAATTTCGTGCAACAACTGCTACGTTAAATTAACTCCTTTGGATCTATCGAATTACGTGTACACCGATTCGTCTGACACAGCCACCGTCAGTACTGATAGTGGCAGCAGTAGCATAGCAAACGAATCTACTTCATCACAGTCATCAGCAATATCATCTGCTGATGAGGATTCGAGTTCTCAAGTTCCCTTTGGAAGAAATCTTCAGATCGCCCTCCCTCCACTTCCTATCCACGTTCTTGATCAACGGCCGGCTTCAGCCTCCTTTATGCGTGGCCGTACCTTTGAGTAGGTGACACTGTTTCCCAACAAGTTCGAAATCCACAGTCCCTTATCGCATGCACTTCTAATTCTTTAGCGTATCGAAGCTAGACCAGGATCGGGGTCGTTGAGTGGTACGTCGAAGTTTAATTTGTCTCTAAATATTCTATCTGGAGTAGGGTTTCCGTTGATTGTGCTGTCAATTTTTTTTTCAGGTGTATCTGTGTCTGATCATGGTGTAACACTACAGTCCAATTTTTATGCATGCTGCTTTTATCGTCCTTGACCATTATTTTAATCGATGTAAAGTTATTTTCACAATTATATATTTTTTCACTGTCTCTCATTTGCTGACTGGGCGGACCTTTTGGGTCTTTTTTTGCTCTAGTGCATTTTGGAATGTCCCTTCTATAATTGCAGCTTATTCGGTTAGAAATAGCAATTACAGATTTCGAAATTGCTTTATATACTTGTTGGTCCTTCAGTGATTTTACATCTTACCCTTTCAGTTCGTAAGTTTTGTCTTTGGAGCTGGCGAATGGTTGCACCATCTACTTCTGTATTCTTTCCACCATGATGGATTTGACAACTTACGAATACTGCTTTCCTTTGTGCGTCGCGATATTCCACATTGTAAACGTAATTCTTCTATAGCCTGGCAGTCGAATCAACCTCCATAAGTTGGTCAAAGTTCAGCTCTGATTAGGTTTTTGCAACTGCATCTGAATGGGTCGTTTGCGCTGTGCTGTGATTACCTGTAGTGTTATTATTGCTATTCGGGGGCCGTTGTTTCCCTAGGTTGATGCGCTTTAACCGGTCCAATTTTGCTGATTTCCCTCCCCTATTAGATTTACACCCGGTTTGACTTGGTGTAAGAATCGTAGAATATCTTCAAGCCAAGCAATCCGAGCTATACTCCACGTTTATTCATAGTTCTGAACTCCTGAAGTTGTCATTGTGCTTTTAATGCTGTACCCATTCATAACCCATGGGTAACTGACATGTGCGACCTACGGATTGTTTTTTTATGATCAAAATGTCAACATTGCTTCTCTTATCCTGATGTTCGTTATGGTCGCATCTCAGTGAATTTAAACCCATTCTTTGTAGTGAGAGAAGACCAACCTCTAAGTGTAGTAGATGCATTGAATGTGTTAGACATATGCATTCATCGGTTATCACTGGCACTGGCCATTCATTCTCGGTGGCGTAGGCTCGTAGTAATGGTGCGTTAGTTCTCTTCACCCATCCCCCTATCCATGAAATGCCTAGTTTCTAAGCTTGAAATTTTTATTATGAACTTGAGAACTCTTTCTTATCAATGAATAACGGTATATTCTCAAATCTCCAGTTCTCTACTCAAATAGTTGCTCTCGAAATGGGAAATTCGGAGTAGGTGGGTCGAAACGACATGACTTCTATCTTATCAAAGTCGAAATAAGGACTGGTCCTAATCATCGGTAGGATGGAGCGGAGATTTCTTAATTCCTAGTGGTAATTCTGTGTAGTGCTGTTGGCCAGTGCTCCCGCTGCAAATCTGCCACTTCCTCCAAGGGCGTAGCGTGACTGCATCGGGTTGGTGCTTCCAGCTTGTAAGGCACCGCTAGCGTCGCTAGCACTGCCGGACAAGCGTTCCAGCTGTGCCTCAGTGAGTTGAATGAGGCGGGTAAAGAAGAGGTTCATGAGGGCGAGACCCACGAGGATGTAGGTCAGGGAGGCGAGGTTAAGAAAGACATCGGAAGTGGGGACAATGTCGCCCAGTCCGATGGAGGTAATGCTGATAAAGGCGAAGTAGACCGCGTCAAGAGGACTCCACGCAGTGGCGGTTTCACCAATACCCCAACAATAGACCACGCCGCTGAAGATTGCGTAAATCACGAGCAGCCCGAAGCTTGTGATGAGCTGCGAGTGAAATATTAAGTGATCATGGAGATATCCTTTCAATCATCCACACTGAACCACTTCTGATGGGACGTGAGTCTGTCCCGTGTGTCTTCGCTAAGGTCATAGGGACGTTCCCTTATGAAGAGCACATACTTTGAGGTTGTAGGGCGGAGATTGCCAAGGTCATCTGGTGATTTTGTCGGTGAGGGGTCTCACAAGACCAGAAGGGGAAGTAAGTTAGAGCCTCAAATTTTGACCCAGTAGTCGACATAAAGGACTCCAATATGGTCCTGGATTGTATCAAGACACCATCTGTTCTATGGCCTACCTCCAACTCCCTGATACGCCTCAATGGAGTTGGCTCTAGGTCATCTTAATCCTAATTAAGTTCATGCACTGGAAGTTAGGACGCATCAATGAGCTCTCATGCAATCAATGGTCACGACTAATTCAGTACCCCTTTTTCAACCGTGAGGTATGTGGAGAGGTCCACATGGAATGATTAGATAAACAAACAAAAACCAAACGCAAGGAGACGGCACCTAATTGTGCTTTATTTCAGCTCACCGAAAAGTCGAAATCCGAACCTGCTCGGTGGTAAGCATCACGCAGGCCGACGGGAATGCCACTGGTGTCAAGGGTCATTAAATATATGGCCTTGAGGATGCGGGCTATTGCCTTGGACATTCGATTTACCACCATGGAGCAGAGGGGGATTGCAATCAGTCCATAGCATATGGTAATGATCCTCCCAGTAGTTGTGTTTGGAAAAACATTACCATACCCTTTGAAAATGAAATATTTTTTAAGTGACTTTGCTAATTTTGTGTCCATTTAAAAATCTGTTTAACAAGCATGAAGTGAGTCACAAATTTCTCATCAAAACGGCATTTCTTGCTATCGCGTGCTAGCTGCTTCCAATCTGCTTAAATGCAGATCAATGCTAAGCAACTTAATTTCTAAATTAAATAGAAGGCGTCAGCATCTCCACTTATGTTTTATGCTTTGAAATGTCTGCTTCTAGCAGGCTGATGATGAAGGCATGTCACGTACTCATGACACTGACATTAGTGCTCTACACACGGGTACGAATGAACAAAAGTTACTCCTAGTCTGTGGTCCTGCGATAATAATTACTATACGTAGTAGGATGAAAGTATACTACTGTCGAAGCATTAGTGGTACCTATTGTAGTGAAGAGTGTTATACAGTAATAGAGACTGCCCCAAAAACTCCACGATGGAGGCTTGATCTCGGCGCCTAATTCGTCGTTTCCAGCCTTCCAGGCTTGTAACAGCTTATTGCGATACTTGTCCACCTGAGTAACCAACTTAGACCAGTCAGCGTCATCGCCCTCATCTGCAAGTTCTTGGGCCAGGACAAAGATCCGCTGGCGAGCCTTGATACACAAAATGGGGGAAAAGCGACTTGAATCAAATCGAACTTTTAAGCATTTGTGGCTACTGACCACATGCCAAAAATACATCGTCGAAATAAACCTGTAATATTCCAAAATATATGGAAGTCCGCGTGGAATGTTACAACTCATTGTTTTTACATCCGCCAGTCGATGTGGGCCTTTGACCTTACTCTAAATTCCGACCAGACTGGGGATTAATTGACCTCATTTTTATTTGCCAAGACGATGCCTTAGGCTGAAGGAACAAACTTGCTGTGCAAATAAAAGGTAGTTGATATACATATAGAGGGAGGATTTGTACTTTAATCATGCCTATACGCTTTGCACAATAACCTTTAATGCAGATCCACTTCTTTATCACTCGTACACTGTTTTCTAAGAAAGCCAGCTTTTAATGCTAGCATTTGCAGAATGGGTCAAAAACCAACCACCCATACTATCAAAGAGGCCGCATCTGCCCTAAAAAATCGAGGCATGTTTATAGCAGATCGAAGTTCAAGTTATTAAAATTTGATAACAAACACTGATTTTGTAAGGTTATAGTTTAGCGTATTTGAAGTAGGAAGATGCACTGTTAGTTTAGTAAGATGGTCTATAAAAAATGTCTGAATACTATGAGGTGGTCCCGTTTTCATACCTCAGATCTTATTTAAAAAGCATTTGACTCAAACGGGTAAGCTTCCCCATATTAATCGGTTCCTCCCACACAAATGCGTGCCATAGAATTTAATAAATTTGGCAAAATAAAGTTCCCCATTTATTGTCTGACTGTAAGGTGAAATCCACAGTTAAACGTTTTTTATATTAATACGGCAAGATATTTCCTGACGCCTCATTGGTATATTCCTGTCATTATTTATTGTTTTACGACTCCAACAAGGTCATATAGAGCAGGCTAATATGTTTGCGCCCTAGTCAAAATGAGGGTGAGGAGTAGAGAGTCCTTCTAATAGGCTTGTTAAAGGCATCATGAATGGTTGAAAGTGTTTTAATTTCACACGTATCCCTTAACTGTATATTCCATGTTTCATTCATTTGTCTAACACTGAGAAAAACAATGGCTGGCATCAGCTCCAGAATTTTCCTACTAAGGTGAATGCGGCGTAAGGTAATTTGTTATCTCGCAATGACAGGAGTAAGACCACCATCAGCTTCATTATCTAGTCGCTCTACTTCGTGTGCAAAGAAGTGTAGCCCACCTACATCATCAACATACATCAACATACAGTGTCTCGATTTCTACATGAACAAATTTTCGCATACCTTGGCAACATAAATTTGACAAACTAAAATGATAAAATAAATAGCTATTAAAAGCAGGCATTTGTTTAATCGTGCCATAACAAGCGTCGGCAATCAAGTGGAGAATATAACTGCTATTAGCAATTCAATCCTGTGTGAAATTACAATTTTCACCTCTAAGACGATTTGCTTAGGCACTGCCATCACGGCGCCACTACCATCCACATCAGACACAACTAAAGTTTTCTCTTTTGTGTTTTAGTTAAAAATTAGTTTTTTTCGAAATCGACGCACACATTAACGCAAAACATAAAGCCAACTCCAAATTGTTTAAAAATATCTGCCTCTCTGCTTCAAAACTCTGCAATGACAATCTTAACCCTCGCCGAAGTCTATCCGTAAATCATGCGTTAAGACTGATTTGTGAAGTAGACGGCTTGACTTCATCTTCAAGAAAATTAATAAACATTTAATAACGTGAGGTTGAATGTAGAGATCTAAAAGACGGAAACACTGCAGAGGTAAACCGACGCCAACCTTGGCATTACACTCCTATAAATTAAAGTCCGGCGTGTTGAGAGCCTAACCCAGCTGCTATATGGCAAATGGATCTAATGAAAGTTCCTAAACAAATTTGTTTAGAGCTTTTGTTTCCAAGACTAGCAAAATTACCGGAATCTTTTAAAATAACGGTAAAGATCAGCTATGGTGCAAGTGAACCTTAGGTCACCACATCAAAGGTTTAAGCTTTAGTGGATGTGCGACTGGTTCAAAGGAATCTTTCATTGAATTAGTACATACTGAGGGCAGAACTGGTATTGGTAGGGGTTGTGGAAAGCAAGCAGATGCCTTCCTATACCTTAGCCATAGCAGTGACATGCTATACCCAGGTTCGAGAATCAGACGTGGTGTATAGATCATGTCCGTAGTCGGCCCACCTAGCTGGCCACGTTCGAAGGCTTTTTAAGTGACCTCTCCTGGCTGGGGACGGAGAAATCCCAGTCTCAAGAGACCATGTTACCCATACACACAATCTATCAGTGTGTGATCCAGAAGTCACATGTATTCGCAGATGGACACAGAACAAAAACACTGAATAATTTCCTTAAGTCTAAACAAAATGATTCAATATTTGGTGACCGGAGAGGCCCTACAAGTCGCGCATTTGCGCGACACTAAGCTTGCTCGGGAAAGTATAGTCATTGTATGCACAGATTGTCCCTTAACTGTAAGACAATGTCAGAATCACGTCGATATGCACGAGAGGTGCAAATCATTCACACTAAATTCCATGATAGGCTGTTACAGTGCCATGGCATTTAGCGATTCTCACGCGCAGTGGAATTCACTTCAAGTCTTTTAAGTCAATTGTTCACATGAGTCATTTGGGATGAAATGTACTGGGGGAGAAATAACGACGACTGCGCTTTTCACGCCTTTGAAAGCGAAATGTGCAGAAGTTGGCTTACTGATGTACTATCCACATGTTAAAAAGGAACCTTTTGGAGTGACCTTTTTAGTCGTCTGGATGTTTCATGCTCTACCAGCTACATTGAAGTTGTCATTGAACCGAACCAGTCCCTCTTACTTAATGGAATGCAGAGAGACATAAAAGTGTCGCAGTTAGCTGCGGATTACCTTAGCAGCTTGTATTCGCGTTCGGATTTCCGCGGCTCCTTCAATCTTATTGAAAATGTAGGCACCAGCAAGGGTGAGGATGAGAAGACAGATACTCAAACCTGCTGTCGAATTCAGCAACTGGCCTAAAACCGTGAAAAAAAAGAATTGCCTTTAAAAGAACTAATGAAGGTATACAAAACAGTCGACTGAATGACAATGAAAATTATTCAAGCGTCCAGTTTGCTTCAAAAGGAAGTGAGAGCACTCAAAATTGCCAAACAGTTCGGAGTGTTGGCCCCAATGCGGGCATAAGGATCGCATTCATAAACCGATAGCGGCAAGCATTTGGACTTTGGACATGATCGTAGAGAGTAAATTTTAGCCCAAATGTGTGCCTATTTGAGGGAAGAAACAAATTCCTTCACTGTCCGAACGCACAGCAAATTTGTACTTTTTTTAACTAATAGCGCGTCCAAACAGAGCTGCACACCCAACAAATGGACAGCGATTTGTATCTGAAAAAAACGTGCCACATGAAGGTAGTCCATCCTTCTCTCTTACAAGCATTGTTTACATGTTATGACAATATAAAATGGACTAACCGGATGGAAAACTGTAGTCATACTGGCTTCAGTACATGTTTCCACCTTATGTTCAGGTTAAATAAAAATATCTCCGTAAGACATTGTTGCTTTGCCCAGCAGTTTCGATTACGGTCACGTAGGTGACAAGATTGATTGACCTTTGGACCGTGCAAGCAGCACCGATGTTCTTCTCTTTGGTGAATATATAAAGTCGCTCTACCATTATGCCGTTTTCTGGCCTCAACGTTAACAAAAGCACCTCCAAAAGAACTACTTAACTAAATTCCATCGAATATGACAAACTCAAATTGTTTTAAAAAAGCACATGCGCTGCAGATGGTTTTGAGTGTAATGTAAGAAAAACCCTTAGGTTTAGAAAGTACACAAGTAATGAAGCACTTGGAAAAGGTTCTGTCAAACGTCTCCATCATGAGAAAACAAAAAACCTCGACAGTGCAAAAGAAAACAAAGTCCTTATCCTAATGGGATTGTGTCAGATTCAGTGCTTTCACAGGCAAATTCACTTTTAGACAAGTGCCCCAACGTTCAACTACGAACACTTGCCACGGTCCGCCTTATTTCTCCCAACTAAATTCAATTTCCAAACAGGACGAAAGTCCACAGCCCACAGGCCTGGCTAAAGGAATCGACGACTTTGCGGTCCGGTGGCTCCTCCAATGCATAAGCATTTCATAAGTGTCACATTTAGGTTGTGAAAGTTTCGTTTCCATCCCGATTACCATGCAGTTACTAACGTGGAACTTTCATCAATGGATGTACTGAAGGTGTCAACCTAAAGGGTAACCGAGCCATGGTAACAGCCCGATCTTGTTCCTTTTGATAAACAGTTTTATTCCTTAGTCTTCGAGGAAGACTCCATACGCCACAATCATTTGCGGCGTTCGTGAGTATTTACTGACCGCCACCACATTATCGTGGATAAGCCTTAGTTTTGACGCGACTTTAAACACATGGAGACACAAACCACACCCACTAATTTGTACGTGAGCTTGAAAGATGAAGTTTCGGAGGTTGCGTTAGTTTACACATGGATGTCATAGAACAGATAAACAAATGACAGCTTCAAGTATTAAATTTGAGACAATTAAGACATTAATCATTTCGCAAAGCGGTCTACAAAAGCAGTGTATTTTAATTATAATTATGTCCAACTTGCATGCTTTAACATGCCTTCTTAAAGGCAGTCGTTTTTTGCCTCTATGCGATTGCTTGCTCTCGAAAGGGTTCGCCAGGATAATGTTTTTTTTCTTTACTTCAGCTGATTTATCAGCAAAAAATGGTAAAATAAGCAGAGTTTTAAAAATCCGAAATCTGTTGCTAAGTTATTGCGGTTGACGACAAAGACTTAGTGTCGTCAAAGCAATTTGTTTGTTTTGTATAAGGGATTAAAGTAGAGTTGGGATATTCCTAGGCTCACGCTTGTTTTCCTTCCCACTACGTGTTTAGGACCGGCACCTCACATCCGATAAGTGGCTCTCCGTAATTAATTAATTAATTATATAAAGTAAATATATAAATTCATGGCATCTTCGGACGGACTATGCAGTCTGCCACCTCAATTGTAAAATATGGAAAACAGACCCTAAATTTGATGCCATCAGTTCTATTATAGCCAAAATGAGCAGCAAAGATGAGCAAATTCATACGGACTTATAAAATGACGCAATGAATTTCGTCCATTTTGCTGTACTGGGAAGTTGAACGCACTTCTTTCATTCACAGAAGAGCCATCCAACTGGACTGCCACATATTTTTTACTAAATTTGACCTTTATGATACGATACTATTTACGGACCAAATGTCAGTTCTAATGACTGCTGACCTCTTAATTACGGATTGCATTCATGATGCTTCCTCATCTGATCCGCATAATGGTGCCTCGCCCTCTAACTCATAATTGCATAGGTCACTACTTCCACACTTAACCCGTACGCCACCCAGAGAGGCTGATAAACCGTGCTACGAGGGAACTCTCCCCTTCGAAAATGGCATGTTGAAGCATTAATGGGGACGATGTTTAGCTTTACTTTGCTTTGCATTGTCAGTTGCCTCAAGCAGTCGAAGCCCTTCAAGAGATAGGGTTTTTTGGGTTAGACAAGCATCATTTGTAAGTTTTGCACTGCTGGTGGTGAAAAGCTAAATTTATGCATTCGATTTGGAATCGCGATAGCCATCCTTCAAGTTCGTCTCATTTGTACGTGGGAAATGCAAAATCTCTCTTTGCGGGTAATGACGGGAAGTGAGTCGTTGCCGTTTTGTGTTGATGCTGTTTTGCTTTATGGCCAGAAGTCACTATCATTTGCATTTATTTCCTCTATTCATCCACTGGCATCGTGAGTATGACGCAAAATTTTGTAATGCAAAAATATAGAAAGTCTATGGGCAACCTCTGGTTAGCACTTGCTAAAGAGGCAGTCTGATTTCTACAACACCTGCATAGTCATTATCATTCATTCCGATATCAGAAATCTCAGGACATTTTGCGAGGTGAATAACCATTGAACAGCATCACCTTTAAGTATCTAAACCAGCTTCGCAAGATTCATCAAATTTTGCGTTAAATGGACCGAATGAATGCTCAGCATGTTTAGACGTAATGAGAGAATGAACATACAAATGATTAGTGTAGAGTAGCGGACTGAAAAGTTGGGAAGTCATCACAATGAACGCTACTTCCTGCAACACCACTCAGTGGTGCTTTTAGGAGAGAGACGCTTTTTGTGCGACAGGAAATGAACGGCTGCGAGCAATGCCATCATCAATCTACTTGACTTGCTGCAATAAGTCAGCGTTTGCACATTATTCTGCCGACTGAAAGGTATACAGTTTTACCTCCTGTTACCATTCTTCAGCCAAAAGATGCTACATTTATGTGACAGGCCTTCCGCATATCGCGCTGTTAGACCTTTGGACAATTAACCAGTTTAATGGGCCAACTTAACTTGGAGAGTTGTAAGGTTACCTTCGTTCCATCGCATCACAGACGAAATAGGATTGTAAAACAAATATCCGGTCATATATGCTCATCGTAAACACAAATTTATATTTACCAGAAATGTTTTTTTTATTTTAAAGTTCCAAAAATTTGTCTCTAAGTATATGTTATTGGTGCCAACAATATTGATGGTAAGTAGAATATCATCAATGTGGATTTGGAAAAAAGGCATCATAAGATGTGTGAGGTGAATTTTAGGCGAGCCAATGTCCTTTTGAAAACGCTGAACCACTCCTTGCGATGAGATTACATGCGCTTCGTCCTCTATTCATGCTCATTTTAAATCACTAATTAACTTTCAATTGTGGGGCTTCTGAATGTGCTAATCACAGTTTCACCCACCGTATTAGTTACTGCTTCCGTGTTAAAGATGGAGGAATGTCACTGGCTTATTTTCAGATATCCGCTACCATAGTTGTTTAAAAATGTCTTTTGTGTCTGTCTTATGCCTGTTTACGCTTCCTTAACCGGTAGTTAGTAAGGTCAGGGCACTCTATTTGCTAGCATGACCACTAAGGAGCAAAGGATGGGGATCGGAAGGCACGACTTACCAAGACGGCCCATGCTCGAAAAGGTATTTGTTTAATCCCCTTTATGGACCAGGTACGGTGGTTCATCTATCCCACTGTCCAAATACCCACACCTGGGGTGGAAGCGTCAGTCAAGCACCCCACCAACGCGGCGTGCGCAACCTCCGATCAATAGACATTGCCTCCCTCTCATTGGCCAATCTTCTTCGTTTCCATAACTACCGAAGAGCGTTTCATTTGAATCGAAAATGTGAACGAGCGTGTGCTGACTCCGTCAACTCCGCCAATACAAACCCAAATGGGGCAGCATTCAAAGGCTAAGATGGGCTCAAATCGCGACGAAAACTTCCGGATTAATCACGCAAAACTCTGATTATAAGAGTATTCATTGAATGCTCGTAATTTTGAGGTTTTCTGAAACATGGAAACTCAAAATTAGTGTTACTGGGGCTCTCGTTTGTGGGGGATAAGTGACAGCTAACGTTTTATAGCTGACACTATCTTTAGAGGTATTGTGTGCATAAGGTGTTGAAGGACCAATTTTATCCTATTGCACAGTTTTAAGCTTTTTTGTTCTCCAAATATGCTCTACCTGTCCTGAAATGGTTCGTTTTGTTTAAAAAGTGTAAAATGAAAAGGACCCTTAAGTCTACTATAAATAGGACCAACAAAATCATTTCATTCTCTGGTAACCTTTGGCTTCCAATTGAAAAAAAAAGTTTAACTTTGCGACCTTTACCTTTATAACTCAGAGGATGAACACGGATGACCTCAATCAAATCGTGTTTCTGTTTTTTATGGGGCGAAAGTCTAAATTCCGGTCTTTTTAAAGAGGTCGTACAGTTAAACAGTGTTAAAATACATCACGAACTTTATATTCGATTTTATGGAGCTTCTGGTTGGTGGCCAGCCATCACTGGTGCCGGCACTCGGGCGATCATTTGACCTCTGCTGCCTCGAATCAGGCAGAATTTGCATACCTTTATTGTCTTTAACTCGACCAGTCTATTTTCAGTCTAACTACGGTAATCAAATGTCAATGGCTTGGTAACAGACCAAAATGTCACACAGGGTTGACATTTGTGGCAAACCCATTCAACTCTAGAAATTCTTGTTTAACAGGGAAGAGTAGGAGTAAATGTTTCAATTTCTCACAATTAAAAATAATTTTATCATAAGAGTAAAAAAAAATAAAGTGCTTTGACGTGGCTGTGAAACGGGTTTGCCTCTCTTCGTCTCCAGCTCTGCTTTCCCACCCTTGATTTTGGTCGATTACCTGGCATGAGCTATCTTTTAGGGACCAGAGATTGGAAAAGTGCCTTGAGGGAGCGACGTCCATCTTATAAAAGTCCGATTTTAGCAATGATTTTGGTAGTTTGATCGAGGGATTGACATTGTGTACTGCCATTGCAAAAAGGTTTCGCTTTAAATTTTACCTATTTTTTAGTCTTATAACTCCCTTCCCGACGATTGAAAGATGCAGTTTTCCAAGTACTCACCGACATCTTAGAAAGGCCTCTTGCTGCGGAAGCAGATGTAATGCTTATTTAGAAAAGAGGTGATACAATTGGTTGATTCATTGCAAAACCAAACTGAGGGGTTGATTTGCTGACCAAAGCACTGTCTTTAGCTCCTTCCCTGGTCTGTCGTCCAATTTGCCCCTTCCAACGTAGTCGGTGCTGTGGGGTAAAATTACCATGGCGACAACGTCAGACGTAAAATTCGACTCCAACTGGTGAGATTTGCTTGATACTCCCTGCCAAGTCTGCTGCATTTTGAGTGTCGTCTTGTTCAAATAACGGATTGGGAATGGAGGATTGTAAAGGCTGTTTTATTTTAAATCCCCATTGCTAAATCTCCCAATGCGAATCCAAAAAAGGAGTCGCTTTGTAATGAAGATAGTTTGAAGTAGCTTTTAAGAGGTCGAGGCTTCTTTCTTGTTGCTTAGCCTTCGTTTTAGTGACCATCAGCTACGTCTCGCCGGTCTCGGACTCGATAAGTGTGGGCCTGAAGTCGGTATCTCGCATTTGCATCACCAACATCCTTAAACAGGATTCGTAGACAGCTTCTAAATTAATTTTCAGACCGTTAAAATAGCAAAACGCCTTTCTCCCAATGGCAGGAGTGAGGTGGATGCCAAAGGCACACGTCATAGTTTCTCTCACATTCCAAACTTCCCCTACACCAAGGTCAGGCGCTCGGTGACGTTTTTTGTGGTGGTT